GTTTGGGCTTTTTATATTTTAAGAAGGCCTTTCCTACACCGAGTTCATAAAGACATCTTCTCTTATATATTTGCAACTTTCATCTTTTACTTTGAGCTTTATAATCTGCCAAGAACTTAATTTTGTATAGTGGTGTGAGATGGAAAACTTTCTAATTTTTCTGACATGAACAACTAGTCCCAGCAACAGTAATTAAGTAGCCTGTCTTTCCCCCATGAATTTATATTATTTAGTTTGCAGATTCTCATCAGTCTCTTATTTTAGAACATCCAAGCACAGAAAAGTAAAATGAAGTCCTGAGCAAAATATCTGGATATGCTAAACTCTTAAACTATGCTGCATATGAATTTTTTTTTAAAACCCTGTCCTGTCAACCCACACCTGTGTGTAATTCCAGCACATCTTTGAAAATGGAAATTTATTTGTATTGACAATAGGTTGTGAATACTTCTGTTCATGAATCCTGCACATTTAATCTCAAACAACAATTAGTGTAAAAAGGGATTCTAATAATGACGTTGATTGTTCTGCCTATTACTTATGGATGGCTTTAGCCAATGTTTCTCTTAGAGACCAAAACCTAAATTAGAAGTAAACTAGAGCTCAGACTATTGACAACAGTATGATGCGGTATTGCATTTGTGTCTGAATATGTAAAGGTCTGATATCCATGGTAAATGTAATGAAGTCTTGATATTTATGTGTGTGGTCATAGGCGGTGTTCATGGGCTAAACAGTCATGCAGTGCGCGTGGAGCTTTGCTGAATTGTGTAGCTTTTAAAACAAGAATAAGAGGCCTGCCTCAAAGGTTAAGACATTTAAGTTGAAAACCCCCAAGGGAAAATTAGTACCTATGAAAGTTTAAATTCATTCAGATGAGGAAGGACATCCTCTAAGAACAACATGAACTGCTGATTGATTGTACGCTTCAGGGGATGGGACTGCTAACGGTGACAACAGGCCAGTGGCATAGCTATGGTTTCAGAGACTTGGCCTTTGGCGGTTGGTGGCCATGAATTCTGTTGGTGTGCTGTTCTGGCCTCATGCATTTTGTACCATATCCGATCCCAGCTGGGGCTGGGTGAAGGGCGTGGCCTCTCTTCAGTGCTTCACCATCCAAAGCAGACAGCATTGTGCTGACCAGACATGGAATGCACAAACTACCACCTTCATGAAAAGCAGACTGTGAAAAAGAGGTATGAACATTGTCCAAGGGGCAGTGGCTTAGTGGTTCTCAAACTTCTCTGTGCAAAAAATTCCCGAGGCTTCTCGGCTCGCATGCCTCGATTCTGAATCAGCAGGTCTCTGAGGGCTGGGAGGCTGCACTGAACGAACATGGCAGCAGGTGCTGGTGTGAGAGCTCTGAGACCACACTGGATCCATCTGCGGAAGCTGCCTCTGCACAGTTGTCCGCCATGATTTTGGTTGTCATCAAGGGCAGTTGGTACCATTCCAATTTAATAGTCTCTTTTTGTAGATTCCCTTCTTTTGCTTAGTAGACTTAGAAATTATATCTACTGTAAAGGTAAAAATCAGTATCACTATAAATAGAAGGTACACATACATATGCATTAAGATAAATGGAGTATGCATGTACATGAGTGTATGTATGTAGGGATAGATATACACGTGTACTTCAATGTAGGTGAGGATTTTTTCCTTCCAGTTTTTCAGTTTAAATGTCAACCTTGGAGCAAGTTTTTATGTGTGCATGTGTGATATAAATATACATCTGTAGTTGTATTGTATCCACTCAACATTTCATCTGCTTAACATCTTTTGTTTCACAGTTTTGCAAACACTGAGGGGAAAGGGGGCGTAGGGAGGAAAGGAGCATTCATCTCAAGCCTTCAGGAATTAACGTCTTAGTCTTGCACTGAAGAGGATTTCTAATGTTAGAAATAGCACATCGGTATGGCTGATGTGCTTTGAGATGACACCTCTAGCTCTCTGTTTAGTGGAGGGAGGGCCCCTCGACAGTTCGAGAGTTAGCCAGGAAACAGAAGGGAAGATGAGTGTCTTTTCAAGAACTAAAAAGTCCTTCAGTTTTGGTAGGAAACTTCTAGGGAAGGGAAGAGGAAGGCAAAGGTGACCTTTCTGAGAACTGTGAGGGCTCCTGTGTGCCAGGTGCTGCGTGAGGTGCTCTGCACACACCCTCTTGTTCAGCATTCTTGATACCACTAGCCCACCTGCACACCACGAACACTGCCATGTAGCTCTAGAAATCAGGCCGTGCGGAGTTTGAGACATTTGCCTGGGGTTCTGTAGCCACCCCAGGTCTCCATAACCGGAGAAGAAGGGACAGAGTGACAAGAATCATCAGAATCTTTTTTCCATTCAGACTTTATAAAAGAAATGGATTAGCTACCAAATTTAAGTTGTGAAAAAGGACATTAAGTTAATTTGGCTTTGTTTGTTTGTTTGTTTTGTTTTGTTGCACAATCGTGAGCATGCATCCTCTTGTGGTCCTGATGTAAGCAGAGACACTTTACCTCCCATGCCTTCCAAGGAAGACCTCTCCGTTTGTGAAAGTTTTCTTATTGTGGGTTCTGTAGGGTCAACTTTTAATGTGATAACCTGTAGTGATGATGTAAACTTGTAGTAAGAAAGTGAAAAACCAAAAATCTCCCACTTGTTTTTGCTCATGATTACTTAATTGAAGGAACAATCATTAACATAATCTGTGAGTTGCATCACGGAGACCTACTTGATTATAGTGGTTAAGGGGAATTGGAGGCCCATCTGAGGATGGGGAATGTGGGAAAGGTGGACCCTGGTGAGTAAGCCATTCTAGGAGAGCTCATGAATCAGGCCGGACACATTCTTTCATAGAACCTTTAGACGGATTTTATCAGAAATATACATTCAGGATTTGGCTTGGATATTATGATGATCATGATGGTACTAACTTCTAATTCCAATCTTCTGTATTTGGAGTTTTATTTTATTATATTCTATTTTGTTTTATTTTATTTTATTTTTTTAAGATTTTATTTATTTATTTGACAGATAGAGATCACAGGTAGGCAGACAGGCAGGCAGAGAGAGAGGAGGAAGCAGGCTCCCTACTGAGTAGAGAGCCCGATGCGGGGCTCGATCCCAGGACCCTGAGATCATGACCTGAGCCGAAGGCAGAGGCTTAACCCACTGAGCCACCCAGGCGCCCCTTATTTTTTATTTTTAAGTGGGCTCCACACCCAGCATGGAGCCCAGCAGGGGGCTTGAACTCAGGATCTTGAGATCAAGACCTGAGCTGAGGTCAAGTCCCTTAACCGATGGAGCCACCCAGGTGCCCCTGGAGTTATGTCTATCTATTTATTAAGATTTTATTTATTAGATAGATGGAGATATGACAGATAGTGAGAGAGAGCACCAGTGGGAAGGAGAGAGAGAAACAGGCTCCCCGGTGGGCAGGGAGTCCAGCGTGGGTGGGGCTCGATCCCAGGACCCTGAGATCATGACCTGAGACAAAGGTAGCTGCTTAACCAACTGAGCCACCCAGGTGTTCCCCTCCCCCTGGAGTTCTTTTTAAAGGAACATTCCCAAGGCTGCTGTTTCTTAGATAATAATGATCTCTATCCACTTCCAACTATTTTCCACAGTCTGTAAGATGATTTCACAACATTCCTTGACACAAGACAAAGAGCAAAATAGCCCAGCCTTGGGTTACCTGGTGGCTCTGTCATTTAAGTGTCCAGCTCTCAATTTCAGCTCATGTCATGATCTCTGGGTCATGGGATTGAGCCCTGCATCAGCCTCCATGCTCAGCACAGGTTCTGCTTGAGTTTCTCTCCCTCTGCTCCTCACAGTGCTCATGCTCTCTCTCTCTAAAATAAATAAATCTTAAAAAAAAAAAAAATAGCCCAGAGGCGCCTGGGTGGCTCAGTGGGTTAAAGCCTCTGCCTTCCGCTCAGGTCATGATCCCAGGATCCTGGGATCAAGCCCTGCAACAGGCTCTCTGCTCAGCAGGGAGCCTACTTCCTTCTCTCTCTCTCTGCCTGCTTCTCTGCCTACTTGTGATCTCTGTCAAATAAATACAGAAATCTTAAAAAAAAAGAAAGTAGCCCAACCTTCTCTAAAGAGGTAGATGATATAAATAAGTAAAACGAAGCCCATAGAAGTGCCAAGGAAAGATGGGTTTTCCCAGAAACCTTTTTTTTCTATTTGACAAATAAAATGATGAAAATGATGAAACTGACCTTATGTCTTTTTTTTTTTGGAGGCCTGAAAACTCGGAACCCGAATTTGAGGCTCCTCAGCTCTTGCCGCTCTGGCTTCAGGGTCCGTGCATCCTTTTTCTTTTTCTTCTCTAGCTTAGGCTTTCTGCCCTAACTTATCTTTTCCTTGGGCCCAATTAATTATTTTCTTATATTTGCTGTGAAACTAAGTGGCATATAACAGCAATTACATATACACATGAGTAAACATAAAGATCTGACTAAAAGTAGATTTAAAAAAAAATAAGCATTCTATATCAAATTTCCAGTGTGAGTGCTGGCTTGAGTGGAACGAGCGAGAATTTCCCCTTCCATGCTTTTGGCAGCTTTAAAGTTTACATATTCTATCTTTCTTGTGAGCCATTACGGACTTGCTCGTCAAGGTCGTTTCTCCGTTGCCCATCTTACAGACGGAGTTGGGAATTTGTGGTCAGAGTTGCATGGGGAGCACGTGCACACGCACACACATGTGCCAGCATGAGATGGTTTTATCTGTTGCATATCAAATAGTTTTAAATAGATATTTCTACACTATTTAAAAGCATTTGTCAGAAGATTCGTTTCTTATCTGAAGATAATTCTTATTTGAAACAACCTACAGACTGCCAGTTAGAATAATTTTAGTGTCTTATTTTGGTTAGGAGTGGGTTTCTTGTGTTTTAAACTCAAGATTGTGAATGGTTTTAATTAACTTGTTTATTTTCAGTAGAGAGTTCAGGTTTATATTTGAGCTTAGAAACAAAGTTTTTTTTTTTTTTTTTGGTTTTTTTTTTCTCATTCCAGAGGGAGCTAAACTTTACTTCTCCCATCCTGAGCAAGGAACTGGTTAAAGCCACAGGAACTTTGCTGGATAGTCTCGGGACTTTGATCCAACAGGTAAGTAAGTTGTGTCTTTCCAGCCCCAGGAGGCAGACCACTATGGCTTTTTCTTTACCCTGAGTGTGCTTAGAGGGTCCTTTTGATTTGAATATTGTGTGACCCATAAAATCAATTTCAGAAGCATCTATATCTTAAAAATTACCTGGGTGGAGCTCTTTACTATAGAGATGGAAAAACCAAGATGTAGAGATGTCTCAGAGCTAATTAGTTTGTGGTTGAAGGTCTAGTACCTAGTTTAGAACTTTCTCCTAGTGTTATTCCCTGCCCCTAGTTTATGACTCCTTGTCTCACCAGCCACTTAACCGTATTTCTTCTTCAGTAGCAAGGCCAGTCTTTTTACCAAAACATTTGTTTGCCAACTAATAGCGTATACCCCTCATTCAGACCTTCTGCTGTAAGCACCTGGACTCTGATGTTCCCCTTTGGGAATGTCATTTCTTGATGAACATTAAGTCAGATTTGCCTTTTGGGTCTGCATGTTGACAAACGTATCAGAATAACCTTATATTCACAAGATTGGGGGCCTGTAGGTGCTGCCAAAAGCAGTTAACCTTTTCTCTGCCTGCCAGCCTGCATGTGCTTCTTGTCCGTGATGCCCAGCCTTGATCTGGTTAGACTTGGAGAGGAGGAGCTGTCTGGAACTGAGTGGGAGGTGGCGATCAGAAACAATCAGGCCTAAATGTCCAGGACAGTGGATGGGAATACTCTTCTCAGACTTGGTCTGGCCTTATTTTGAATCGCTTCTCTAAATCATTTTTTGGTATTTGTTTTATTTTTCTCAAAAATCAAAATTTAGGTTTCCGAGAGTAAAAGTATTGTGCGTTCAAAATGTTCTAAAGAACATTTAGAAAACACAGAGATTGAGCACTATTGACAATTTGGTGTCTTGCTTTTAGTTGTTTGCTTTTTTTTCTTTGAATGCTGATCATGGGTGTGTGACTGAAGAGGCTTGGGTTTTGGGTCCCTTTCAGAGAATTGCTTTCCAGCCTGCTATTTGTTATTCTGCTTGTGAATGCTGGTGACCTTTATGTAGGTGCAGAAGCTGGATCACCCGGGGCTCTTCCAGGAGGCAGAAAGAAAAACAGAAAATGACCTGCAAGTCCGTAGCCATTTCTCTCAGGTCCCATTAGCGGGCTCCAGTATACACTGTGCTCTCCCAGCTTCCCTCCAGCCTTAGAGCAAGCAGAGCAGAGACTTGACATGGGAGGGTGTCTCTAAATTTAGGGTCTGGGTACAGTGTTTTCTCTTATATCACTGGCCTGCCTTTTGTCCGGGGTAAGAAAAATAAGTGAAAGCCTGCAATGTTTCCATTGCTGATGAGGCAGAAACTCTCCATTGAGCCATACATCATTTTTCTTCGCAGCTGCTTCCTTGTGCCCTGCTTGCTCCCTGGGTCAGGCCGAGCAAGGGCCACCCACACCTCTCCGTGGAACACTTTCAAGCCCCCGTGACCATGAGTTACTTATTGTCAAACTTGCTATTTCCCCGAGACGAATGGGCAGAACATAAATAAATACATGTGTGTATCTGTTTAGTGTTTGAAAGAAAGTTGGATGTTTTGACCAAAGCACCACCCTCAGTAGGAAAAGGGAGCTAGCAATTTCCAAGCACCTCCCCCTTACTTGTGCAGTTTCCCCCAATTTCCCTGTATCATTCACGTGACAAACGGGAGTGGGCCTTATTCTTTCCATCTTAGGGATGGCACAGAGGCTTAGAAGAGTGGGACTTACAGTCATATAGATAGTTAATTGGCAAAAACTAGGATTTGAACCTAGGACTGTTGGACTACAAACCCCATGTTTCTTCTGCTTTAGCCTACTTTTTGTGTGATGAACTCTGATGGAAACTAGACTAGAATAGAAAGGATACTCTTCAAAGAAGGACATGCAGACTAACGGGGCCTGGCATTTGGGTAGAAATGGGGACTTCAGGAACTAGATGAGTGAAAGCCGGCGTGAGCGCCACGTCTGGTGTTAGGGAAGGTGTGCCTGATGAGATGGGAAAGCAGGACGGGGAGCCTCTCAGTTATGTCTCTAGCCCCCAGCACACTGGCTTTCCTGTTTTCCTGGGGCTTGCATGGTCAGAGATGGAAATAAACAGGTCAGCGTATAATGTGCTGAAGAAAAAGCAGGGTAAGAAGGATAGAGGGTGCTGAGGTGTTGTTTCAAAGGGGTGATTAGAGGAGTTGTCTCTGACGAGGGGACAGTTAGACCTGAAGAAATGACCACGTACTGTCCGCTCCAAGCAGGAACAGATACAAAGACACTGAGGTAGGGCATGATTAAGGAGTGTATTTAAAGATCCAGGAAGGAGCACGGTGAGGGAGAGAGGGAGAGGGAGCTGGGAGCTGAGGTGCAGGAAGGAGGCGAGCACCGTGCAGGCCTGGTAAGGCTGGATTTACGCTGAGCGAGATGGAAGCCAGTGGGGGGTTTGGAGCAGAGGGCATATGACGTGACATAGAGTATGAGGCTGTTTACGTTCTGGCTTTTAAATTGAGAAGAGACTAAGGTGAGCATGGAAAGAAGGGGGCCATTGAAGTGTCTTGAGAAAGTAGTCAGCCAGCCATTCAGTCCATAGATAATTATCAAACACCGTCTTTCGTGGGCTGAAGGATAAATGGCCACCCTTCCCCATGAGTGGGAGTGCTTCACAGAGGAATTGTGGAGCGTGAGCTGAGGTGTAGAAAAATGAGTAGGAGTTTGCCCCGAGACAGGTGCTGGAAAGAGCCAACGGTCTGGAATAATTCTGTCGTTTTGGTGCCTCTGTCCAAAAATGTACTGGTTTTATGTGGGAAGAAATTTGTTCTTTGGGTTGGGGGCTGGTGGGCTGATGCTAGTGAGGCAGCCTGTGGAAAGAGAAGTGAGTGGCTCTCACTTACTATCACTAAAACATCTCCAGGGCTGTTAACCCACCAACAAAAGGAAGAGTTGTCTGGTGATCTCTGTCCTCCCTGTGTAGATGCCTCATCCAGGTGATGAAAAGATAAAGTAAGGAAAAGCTGGCCACCTAACTGTGATCTTGTAGTATATGTCAGATGCTCCCTCTTTGGAGGGAGAAATGTTTGTGACTTCTGACCTGCCCCTGGAGTGCCTCGTTTGTCCCCTGGAGGCAGAAGGCAAAGTCAGGATCTAAAGTATTAAGGACCATGGGACCGCAAGGAACCAGGAGGCTGAGACAGAAAACTGCGCACATGGTGCCAGAATTTAGGCCTTCTACAGGATGTGGGCAGGGCCCTGGGTCTTTCCTCTGCCCTCCGTGGCTCTGTCGGGTGGTGAGAACATGAAGTGACATTTCAGGGAATGTAGAGGTGTATTACTGATTTATTGTAGAATATGTAGAAATGCAAAGCATTTATTTTTTATATTTTTTATATTATTTATATTATATATAAATATATATTTATATATATTTAATGATGAGAACAATTGGGCCAGGAACTCTACAAGGTGCCGGAGCACATTTGTCTATGAGACAAAGCGCCAGTCTGGTGTGAGTCACAGACGCAGCCCGCGGCTGCAGGAATGTGGGACTCATCCTGTTCAGGGCCTTCTGTTCCATGTGATTTACTCTACCCCATGCTCTGTTTAGCTTCATCGTCTTGGCGGGAAGTGGGGGCCCTCAGGAAGTGACTTTTGTAAGGCTGGAAGTGAATGAGGCCCATGGTTGGGACGCAGCCTCGGGTCGCCCGTGTTACGCTTCTCATGTCGTCTAGCACTTCACTGTGACATGGATGGGCACTTCACACCCTCTGCCTTTCCTCCCAAGGCACAGAGACCTCCTCGGTTTCCACAGGCAAGCTGAAGGTGTTTTAGAGGTGAGGACGTGCTCTAGGGTATGATCAGTTCCTCACGGATATATGTGAACACATGGCTGTTCAGAGAAAGCTTTCTCTTCCTTCCGCCAGAAGATAATCCAAATGAAGTAAAGCCCATCCCCAGGGGGCTCCACTGACTTCTGGTTTGTGCTTCTCAATCTTTAATTTGCATAGGGATCACCTGGGTGTCTTGTGAAGGTGCAGATTTGAACGTACTTGGATAGATCCATACCTTGCCGATAACCCCTCACTGGTCCCCAGCAGAGTAGCAGGGTTCTGTCAATCCCATCACAAGGCTCAGAGGACAGGACACAGTATGTTCTGGGGTGTGGCTCTGGAGAGGTCAAGAAAATAAGCTTTCTCTCTCTCTTTCCCCCACCCTCGTGATACCCTCTTCTCCTCCTTCCCTCCTCCTTCCCTTTCTCCTCCCAATCCCGGCCACCAGCTTTTGAGCATGAACAGCTGGAGTGACATGCGGCAGGAAGTCCTATTCCTGACCAATGCGAACAGCTCCAGCTCGTCCACCCAGATCTACCAAGCTGTGTCTCGCATCATCTGTGGCCATCCCGAGGGGGGCGGCCTGAAGATCAAGTCCCTCAACTGGTACGAGGACAACAACTACAAAGCCCTTTTTGGTGGCAACAGCACGGATGAAGATGCTGGCAGCTTTTATGACAATTCTACAAGTGAGTGTCTGCATAGACGGAACCCCTGGCCGGCTAGCCCCCGCCCTGCTTAGTGCTATTCTGGGTCCCTTGTGCATCCTCCCTAGTGTTTACCCTTATGCTCTGGGGCACCACTGGAGATGTACATGTCTGTTTGCCAGGAGGCTGAGCTCCTAGAGGAGTCTTTTCCTTATCCGTGAACTGTCCCACCTGCTTTGAATGGGGCCTGGCGCATCTCAGGTACATGGTGTGTTTATTAAATTCAAGAGTGAGTAAAAGCCCACCTCCGCAGTTTCCTGGGGCTTGTAGGAGGGGAGTTCCCAGAGAAATCAAGGATCTTCTTCTTTCCTCCCCTCTACCCTCCCCAGGCATGCTTTATATTAAAAACTTTAAAATAACAGTGATAATGACAGCAATAAAAGCCAACATTCAGGGAACATTTCCTGTGTACTGGGCATTCTGTTGAAGTTTTCCCATTTAACCCTTCCATGAACCCTACAAAGAATGTTGTACAACCCACATTTAATAGGCTCAGCAAGGTTAAGTGACTTGATCAGAGCCACACCATAACAAATCCACAAGAACCGGGGTTAAGCCCAGATAGGGCTGGCCTGGTACTTTTACCCCCATAAATCACATGGCCTCTGAGATAGCTTGTTAACATGGCGTGTGTACCGTCAGACTCAGACTCAGACATTTGATCTGCTGTTTGTTTTTGGTGCTTAGCTGCAAGGTGGTGTTAAAGAATCTTGTAACTCCATATCTGCTGCTCACACTTGGATGGTTTTGTGGGGATGTGTGTTCTGTGTCTGGTGGCAGCAAGGAGCCAATGTTACAGTTTTAGTCAATGGCATCCTTTTCCTTGAAAACATGATGTAAGTGAGCCTTTCTCCATTTCCAACCACAGGTGTCTCTTTCAGACACTGAGTGAGGCAGCTTTTTGTGCATTACTGTAACACAAGAACCTTTTCTTCTTCTCTGGAGTAAAGCACTCCAGACATAGCACGCTGCTTTGCAAGCCCGAAGGGGATGGCATTAGACGCAGTTTTCTGAAATGCCATGTGCTCTACTCCCTCACTTGCAAGTCAACCCAAAGGAACCTTCATTTGCAAAGCAGATACAACTATGAGCAAATCCTTTTTTTTTTTTTTTTTAATGTATCCTCTCTGCAGCATGTAGAGGATGCTTGCCATCCAAAAGAACCAAAAATGAAATAAAAAAAAATTCAGGAATCCTTCTGGGTAACCAAACCTCATTGTCTATTATAACTTTGGATTTTTCCATTAGGAATTTTTATTACATATGTTAGATATACTTGTGATGAGACTTGTTAAGGGAAGTGTTTTATTTTTGCTAGAAAACTAAAGACTAAATTCATCTCTCTGTTCTCAATCAAAATGAGTTGGCAGGCTGACATGAGATTATGACTCCAGAGTTATGCATGTATGTGCATAGTAAAAACATTTTTCTAGATCTTCTTGGTTATGAGTTATCCCTCTCTATAATAAGCTCTGATTACTTGTCAAGCATTCCTGTAGGGGCTCTCTTGATAACATCTGTTAATCCTCACCACATTTCTGCCAAGTACATAGTAACTTTATTTTAACAGAGGAGCAAACTGAGGCTCAGACAAGTGAAGGTATTTGTTATGTAGCTCATAAGTGGTGGAGCTGGGATTTGAACCCAGGACTGTTTGGCTAGCTCTAGAGCCCTTGTTAGTTCCCACAAGTATATGACTGTGCATGTGAATATCTGCCTTTCATTGTCTTCATAGCTCCTTATTGCAATGACTTGATGAAGAATTTGGAGTCCAGTCCTCTTTCCCGCATCATTTGGAAAGCTCTCAAGCCTCTGCTTGTTGGGAAGATCCTGTATACACCCGACACTCCAGCCACCAGACAGGTTATGGCCGAGGTAGGTTGCCCAGGCCCAGAAATCCCTCTCCAGAATCCTCCTAGGGTTATAGCAAAAAAGTGAATGTGGCTTCAAATGGATTATATCGACTATGCTCATGGCTTTTCGGGGTTTCCAAAGAGGGAGAACCACAAGTGTGGCCCAGGCCAGAACCGACTGTGGAGGGCCAGCTCTCCAGTCTTGGGTATTTGAGTCATTGCTGCAGGCAGGCACTTCTTAGGGATGGGGAAGGCTGGAAACAGTGACGGAGCATCTTGTCAGGGTCAGCTGAATATCTCATGGCTCTGCCTCTCCTTTTTTCCTGCTGCCTTTGGCTCCCCAACTGACTTCAGGTAAATAAGACCTTTCAGGAACTGGCCGTGTTTCATGATATGCAAGGCATGTGGGAAGAGCTCAGCCCCAAGATCTGGACCTTCATGGAGAGTAACCGGGAAATGGACCTTGTTCGGGTGAGTGTCCCTCGGATTACTATGTGTCTGCTTGATGCTAGAGAGGTGAGTTTCTGGTCACTTTGCTAGAGGTGACTGAGATGGGAATTCTTACATTTAACCAGGATAGATGTATTAATAGCATAGCTTCAGCTGCTGGTGATGGTGCACGGATGACTCTTTCACGCACACCCACATCCCTGTGTTCGGTGGTCAAAAATCAGTTTTCCAAGAAACTCGATGAGGGTTGGTATTGGTGATTGTAGGCCCCTGCCTATTGTCAGCTCTGGTCCTAAAGCCAACCACAGCATCTTATTTATTCTTCCTGTATCTTGGTAGTTCTTGACACAAAGGCGTGGGTCCTCCCTCCTAAGGCACTGTGTGAGTGCTGAGCCACCATTAAGGTGTGGAGGGGAATTGCTCTGAGTGCTTCTGAGCCCCTTGAAAGGGATAAGTGCTCTAGAAACAATTGGATTCAAAAGTGGAGGAGTCTGAGCAAGAACAGAATGTTTCCTTTATATGAGCGTGAGTGCCATTTAATCACATCATCCCTGCCTTGGGCTGAGTCAGAGAGTCATTTGACTATTTCCTATCTCCATGGTGAGGGAGGCCTTTTTCTTTTGTTTCTGCTGCCATTAAGAAGCAGGAATGGATTTTACCAGGTTTCTTGTGTTGACACCTCATTGATAAGAGGGGGCAGCTGGGTTTTAGAGGCAGTGCCTACTTGAAAGCTACTCTTCCAGGCTTAGACTCTCCCTTGATGCCCTGGTTTGGAGCAGGGGGTGGGAAGTGTGATACCCAGGGCGACTTCCAGTGATGGGAAAGCTGGAATCATATTTGTTCCTCTGTCCTGTTACATATGCTGAATTCTTAAATTGGGGCCTTTAAAAACTAAGGGACTTGGGTGAGAAAAACATGAACAATAATTTGCATGGATATATGGAATAATTCCTGATTAGTAATAACAGCTCATCCCCTAGAGTTTGGGTCTCTGTTGGGCTCCAGTCACTCCCCCAGAAGGACTGACGTGATCTAGCCACATACAGTGCCATAGACCTAGGTGTGATTTCGGGCCTCTTCTCCCTGGTCCTGTCCTTGGGATCCGATTTTTGCTTGTTGGATGTCTCTCCTTCTGTGTCTCAGAAGGCTATGAGGGGTCCTGTTGAAGGGACTCCATGTGTTTTGTTCCGTAAGCAGATAGATGTTTCCCCTACTCTGCTGATCAATTGACTTAAAAAAAAAATTAAAGATTTTTATTTATTTATTTTTTAAGTAATCGCTATACCCAGCACGGGGCTTGAACTCACAACCCCAAGATCAAGTCACATGCTCCATCAACTGAGTCAGCCATTTAAAAATTTTTTTAATGTGCCCATTGAAAAATGTTTAACTGAAGTATAGTTGACATATAATTAGATGCTTCCCTTACTCTTAAGTGGAGAGTTTGGCTTGGATGCTCCAGCAGCTTCTAGCTCCCAGTGCTTAGAGGACAAAGCCCTTGTAAACATGGCCATGGCATTCATTAGTAATTCTGCTGGCAGAACCCAGGGTGTGCAATAGGAAATGTAGGAACTATGGCTGGGGAGGAAGCCTTGGCACGTGATTTGGAGGGCCTTGTGTGTAAAGCCAAGAATTTTTACTTTAAGCTCTGGGGGACCATCAATAAGTTTTAAGTAGAGATGCAGATATGTCAGGAACATTCAAGTTGGAAAGGTGGAAGGCAGAGACCAGAGTGGAGACTAGCCAAGTGGGGGGCCAAGGCTTCCATGGGAGGTAAAGCCTCATGGTTGCTTGATTGTGGAGGGGGAAAGATTTCTAGCAGGAAGATGGTGGGGATGTCCAATGGGCCCATGGGTACTGAGGCCCAGCGTATAGGAAGGTGGTTCAGCTGGAGACACTGACTTGGGACTCCTCAGTCTGTGGGTGGAAGTTGAAGGAGCCTCTCAGCTGCTCTCTTTTCTTTCTGAAGGAGTGTTTCTCTAAGTCCACGAGCTTGGGCTGCTCAGTCCTTTGTACCCCCTATAGCCTCATGTCTCGTATGTGAGGTAATACCTGAGGCTTCTGCTTCTTTTGGGGTAGCTCTTGTGTTCCTTTCTTTTTTCAGCTTTATTGAAGTGTAATTGATATATAAAAATTATACATACTTAAGCTGTACAACACATTCTGATATAGTGTACGTTGTGAAATGGTCATCACAAATCAAGCTAATTAACATATCCATTACCTCACAAAGTGGCCTGTTAGCAAATTTCAAGTATATAGTATTTTTTTTTTAAGATTTATTTATTGGGGGGGGCGTGCAAGTGAGCAGGGAGAGGGGCAGATGAAGAGGGAAAGTGGACTCCACACTAAGTGCTGAGCCTGACACTGGGCTCAATCCCAGGACCTAGAGACCATGACCCTAGCTCAATACCAGAATTGGACGCTCAACTGACCGAGCCACCAGGCACCCTAACAGTACAGTGTTTGTAACTACGGTCATTCTGCTGTGCATTAAATCTCCTGAACTTACTCATACTGCATAACTGAAACTTTGTACCATTTGACCTACCCATTTCCCTCACTCCCAGCCCCTGGCAACCACCATTCTACTTTGTGGTAGCTCTTATCTTTCTGCTGTTTCCAGCTGTGTCTGTGTGCACTGCATCACCCCCCAGTTCAGGAGGCACTTCTGTGTTGAGTCACGAAACCCAAAGACACTAAACTGTTCTCCTTTCTGAGCTGCTCTTTGCCTCCTTCATCTCAAGACTCCGCTTTCTCCCTGGCTACCACTCCTGAGGGTGATCTTAGGTCTCTTGATCCCGCAAGTACCCAAGAATGGCCACGTGATCGGTGGTCTCACGGGGCACATCTTTCCGGTCTTGCTGCCTTCCTGAACCATATTGCTCAGAAGCTGCACTGGGCAGGGCAGGCTTCACCTCAAATGCCGTGTGTCTTCATTCAGCTCTAACTTGTTCGAGTCTCCAAAGAAAGCCATTTCAGAATTATTAACCTGTACCCCTGTGAATTTTGTGAGGTAAAAATTTGTTATGTTAACAAAAATGCTTCACATGTATTACTGATGATATTATAAATTGTTACTCCCTATAGGAAAGCAATTTGGGATGAGAATTACAAGAGCCATAAAAAAAGTGCTATCCTGTGTATCTCCATTCTCTACACCCTCTGGGATGTACCCTACAGAAATAATTTTAAAGAAGTCACTGTATGAGAGGAAATGTTATTGCTATAATAATTGTTATTGTGAGAAATTAGAAATAGGTTAATTCTTAGCAGTATGGGAATACTTAATGAAATTATAGTATATATACTCAATAATACCATTATGCTCCCATTAAAATAATAAATATGAAGCCACATGGGGGAAAAACTTAAATTGTTAGTGGAAATAAGACTGATTTAAAAAGTAGCAGTGTTTGGCTCCTTAGAGATTCCATTTCAGTAGAGCTAGAATTTCATCTTCCCCCTTGAAGGTGTGACAGGAGTTACACTTGCTTCTCCTTTTCCATGAGCTGAGTTTGAAGCTAACCCGCTTTTCTGGCAACACCTGTGCAGGCTTCTGCCCCAGCCCTCTGGGTCTACTGGTTGAACACCAGATTAGTTTGTCCTTCTCTTCCGTGTTGACTTCCATGGGAAACCCAGGGAACAAGACATGGAAGACGGGCCTCTTCTGCACCACAATCCATGCATGCTGCAGTTTTACCTGGTTTTATCATGGTAACATTTTCCCAAAGTAAACAGCACAAGTGGGGTTGTCTTAATTCAGTCTAGAGATAAGGTGTGTATGAGGCGTCATCAGCCTGAGTCTCAAAAGCAGAAGATAATATAATGCAGGGGGTAGGTATGGTAGAATCAGAGTCCATGTTTCATGCCCCAGCTTTGCTACTTTTTAGCTGTGTGACCTTATGTTAGGGAATTTTTTCTCATCTGCAAATGGGAATTTTTAGACAGATCTTCCTCATGGAGTTGGGTGAGGTAAAACATATAAATGATCTAATATAAAAATGGTGCAGAGTAAGTATGATCACTGTTGTTACTCTAGTCAACACTGTTAAGCTAGGCTGGAAGCATGGACTCTGGATTCAGACTAGTCTGACTTTGAGTCTCAGCTCCATGTCTATTAGCATTATGACTCAGCCTTGGTTTAAGATCATACTTTTTTTTTTTTTTTACCTCTGTATTCTGCTCTCCTGTAAAGTGGCAACTCTGTTATCTACCTCACTGTTTTCTGTGAAGATAAAAGAGACAACATATGTAAAAAGGTTAGGTTTTGTAAATCATATGACTTAGTATCTAGACTGAGTTGGTGTTTATTGATCGTATCTTCTCATTGGAATGGCAGATGCTATTGGCCAGCAGAAGCAATGACCACTTTTGGGAACAGAAATTGGATGGTTTAGACTGGACTGCCAAAGATATCCTGGCATTTCTGGCCAAGCACCCAGAGGATGTCCAGTCTGCTAATGGCTCTGTGTACACCTGGAGAGAAGCCTTCAATGAAACTGACCAGGCAATCCAGATGATGTCTCGCTTCATGGAGGTGAGGACCCATTCCATGGATCATTTGGAAAAGTCTTTTGCTTCTTTCTCTGAGATGGTACAATAAGGTTTGGATTGGAGGAAAGTTCAGAAATAATGTATAATCTTATTTCCAGTATATGCTGGGCTAAATTCCAGTCCAATATAGGGGTTGGTGTACAGAAGACACTTCTAAATGTTAGTTGAATGACTGAATGAATGAATAAACAGACTAATGCTGGCTTTATTTGGTCTCCAAGAAAGGTTTCTATCCATTGCCTTCTAGGTTTTCCCAAGGTTTCATAGCTCAATACCTCACGGCAAGAAAGCATGCCCTTAAAAAGGCATTATTTATGAAGCTTATCTGAGAGCTGATAGGATACATTATATTTTAAAAATCTAGTTTTAAAAATTATGTGACTTCATAGGAGCAAATAAGGGTTTTTTGGGGTCTGCTGATTTGGTTAGTTATGGTTGAATATTGCGAAGAAAACAGAGGAAAATGAGGTATGATCATTGTTTCAACCTCTTTCTGTCCACAAAAATCAATATAAGTAACTCAACTCTAAATACTTATAGCATTTCTCTTAAATTGCCATTAAAAAAACAAAAGGATCTGTTCTCAATCGAATATTGGAAAATGACTAAGGAGAAGATGAGAGGGTGAGGATAGAATTGTCACGCAGTTAGCACTCCCCTCCCAGGACAGTCTGCCTTGGGTGCCGTGTGTTTTCCGGGCCACCAGAGTTTCATGAAGGCTGTTCTTCCATCAGTGTGTCAACCTGAACAAGCTTGAACCGGTAGCAACAGAAGTCCGGCTCATCAACAAGTCCATGGAGTTGCTGGATGAGCGGAGGTTCTGGGCTGGGATTGTGTTCACCGGAATCACTCCTGGCAGCGTGGAGCTTCCCCATCATGTCAAGTACAAGATCCGAATGGACATTGACAATGTGGAGAGGACAAATAAAATTAAGGATGGGTGAGTTCAATCCCACCACACCAGCCAGTTTGGGGGATGTCAAGAGCAGCTAAAATGACTAGAGGCACTTTGTTTTAAGTAATAATTTGGTAGGAATTTCACCCCCAAATAACTCTAATTGGTGGCATGATTTTGTTGAAAGTGAAACATTCATTGCTAGAGATAGTTATTTCGAAGGTCATAAAATACCATCTTTTGATTCAGCATTTCTGCTCAGGAGAATTAAACCCATGGCATTAAATCAACAGGAAGGAAAGAAGAAATAAAGCCTTTAAGGTTCCCTGCGGTAGCATTACCCATTTTTACAAAAAAGGGCAAACTGCCAGTAAAAAAGGGAATAATTAAGCAGATTTTGGTATGTCCACTTGATGCAATGTTAGGAAGCCAGAGAAGGGGGGGGAGAACAACCCAAACCAACATTTTGGTGGTGGTATGCTCATTCTCATTATATCTGTTTAAAAACATGATTTCACTCATATGTGGAATATAAGAAACAGTGCAGACGAACATTGGGAAAGGGAGGGAAAACTGAATGGGATGTCATGAGAAAGGAAGGAAAACCGTGAGAGACTCTTAACTCTGGAAACAAACTGAGGGTTGCTGGAGGGGAGAGGAGTGGGGGATGGGGAAACTGGGTGATGGACATTAGGGAGGGCAGGTGATGTGATGAGCACTGGGTGTTATATGCAACTGAAACCAATGACATATGTTGGCTAGTTGAATTTAAATAAAAAAATATGTGCACACTTGAGACTAGAAAATAAGATATAAATATATAAGATGAAAATAGGGGCTCTGTCTTGGTGGTGGGATTGTGGGTGATTGACTTTTTTGGGAATATTTGATGACCTGTGATCTGGTTTTAGGTACTGGGACCCTGGTCCTCGGGCTGACCCCTTTGAGGATATGCGCTATGTCTGGGGGGGCTTTGCCTACTTGCAAGACGTAGTGGAACAAGCGATCATCAGGGTGCTGACGGGCACTGAGAAGAGAACCGGTGTCTATGTGCAGCAGATGCCCTACCCCTGTTACGTTGATGACATGTAAGTTACCACTGAGCTGCCATCCTCATGGAACTGGGTAACGCTGTCCCCAGAGAGAGTACCTGCACATACATACTTATACACATGCGCGCACATACATCCGAAGGAGGAGATCGGATGCTTTGATTTTATGTATTTCACGTATATGTTGATACCAAAAGAAAAACTTTTTTGAAATATTCATTGAAGATTTTAGGAAATAAGATGCCGGGTATCGGTAGTTGATGGTCCCAGCCACGGCACTGACACATACATGTGCACATCCTGGAATCCTTTCTCCTTTTCCATCTGTAGTTACCAGCGCTTCTCTTTTTCACATACGCTGCCCTTTTGGTCAGTTATTGCTCAGTCTGCAAACTTCAGATGTGTTGTGACAAACGCGTGCAAGCACATACACGTGTTTGTATGTCCCCCAGACTCAGAAACAGTGGTCTAGACCTATAAAAGCTGCCTGCGGATCCATTTGTGCACTTACTCTTTATAAGTGGTAAACGGCATTTTGAAACAATCCAAATAAAACTGAACAAGACTTTTTATCTTGGACTTTAGATAATCTTCCAAGGCTAAGTCACTGAGCTGCCAAGATCTTGTGGGAACTGTGCCTTTGAATCTAATGATTTTTTTTTTTTTTTTAAGAGAATGAGAGCGGGGAGGGGGAAGGGAGGGGCAGAGGGAGAGAGAGAGAATCTTAAGTAGGCTCCACTGGGGTGTGGGGCTTGATCCCATGACCCTGAGATCATGACCTGAGCTGAAATCAAAAGTCAGATGCTGAGCGGACTGAGCCACCCAGGCGCCCGCCCCCTAGTGATTTCTTGGGAGAGAGCACGGCTAGAGGTGTAGTTGTAGGCATCCAGGATCTGTAATGTCTCTTCCAAACTCTGGAAAGTCTCTCAGTCTTTGTTGTGGTGTGCGTGCGTAGAGATCAGAGTGTAGGAGGAGTGGGGTTCCTCTTCTGTTTGTTCTCTGCTTTGCACTGAGCGGCTATTTCCTTGTGTGGCTCACTCTAGCTTTTCCAAGTCACCCTGAATGATCTTGTCTTTCACCATCAGAAAGATTAGCCAGAGTTTTCCAAAGATCTCCCTCAGCCAAGATTCACTCTAGAAAGGATGCCTTCAGATGAGGATAGGAGGGGAGCTTAGTGGCATTAAGTACCTCTGCCTGTTGTCACATAGCTGCTAAGTGCCTAAGTAGCAAAGCTGGGAGTTGGGCCTGGAGTTCCAGGGTCCAAGTTCTGTGTCCCTTTTACTTCACGGCACTGCCTTTCCTGTTCTAGTTTGGAATCTGAATTATGACTGACCAGAGCTACCTGGAGTCCGTTTCTGGGTTATCTGTGATAAAAGTTGTGCAGGGCAATCGGGACATGACCTTGGAGATGTCGAACTCCTGTGAGAGAAGGAGTTGGTTTTTCAGTCTTTGTTTTAATCTTTAAAATAACCCACACCTCACAGTCATCTAGTGACTGAAGCAGGCCCCAGAGAAACTTGAGTCAGCAGCATGTCGTTCGTCTAACTGTTAACACTACGTTGTGCTCCTCATGATGCATTTGATAACCTGTACATTTGGGATTCCAGCGAGCCTGCCCCTTGTTCACTGTGTCTCAGGGCTTCCTCTCGCACGCACGGCTGGGGGGCCCGGGGCTCTGAGCCTGAATCTCACTCCCTGTAATTCTCCCGCCGTCCTTCCCTGGGGCCTCCAGCTTCCTGCGGGTGATGAGCCGGTCCATGCCCCTGTTCATGACGCTGGCCTGGATCTACTCGGTGGCTGTGATCATCAAGGGCATCGTGTACGAGAAGGAGGCGCGGCTGAAGGAGACCATGCGCATCATGGGCCTGGACAATGGCATCCTCTGGTTCAGCTGGTTCATCAGCAGCCTCATTCCTCTGCTCGTGAGCGCCGCCCTGTTGGTGGTCATCCTGAAAGTAAGGCTGCCACACTGGCTCCCTGCTGCCCAGGGACTTACAGGCTGTGAGGAGAAAAGCAAAGATTATTTGGAAAGGAAGGGGTCAGACATGTCATCTACAGTTTCCTCCTTCTGTATCTGGGGAGAGTGAGAGTGACTTGCCCAGGGTCAACTCAGCTGGTTGGCCGTTGAGCAGGGCTGGAACCAGGGCTCTTGCTTCTGACATAGGTACCCACTTACCTGTGCCATGACGTCTGCCAGGCAGTGGTTCATGCAGCATCTGAGAGTTGTTCATCTCCTCAGATGTATTGGTTGGTGATTCTGCCAGAACTCTTAAAAACACTAATCAGAGGGATATGTATTATTGCAGATTAGGTTTTTCTGGAAGCAGAGGCTGAGAGAGTTTGGTGCAGGGGTACTTATTAGGGATCAACATCTATGGAAGGGATGGGGAAAGTACAAGATTGAGCAGGAGAAGGAGTTGTGAAGCAGGATAGTGCCAATTCCACGGGCCCATGGGGGCATATACAGCTTACTGGAATTGTCCCTTGTTGAGCTGTGCTATCCAGGCCCAAGGCCTCCCACCCTGACATCCCAGACCTTGGGCCCCTCAATCAGTCATTGGAATCATGAGCCCCAGGGCCCCTCAATCAGTCATGGGAATCATGAGCCCCAGGGCCGGGCAGCTTTCTATGGCTGTAACAGACCCAGAGAAGTTGACATCTAGAGTGTGTCTGCTGTGGCAACCAGGTAACACGTTCCCTCTGCAGGGGTCCCTGGGCAGTGCTGTTCTGTGCCACCCATATATTAATAGGTTTATATGCTAATCTTTCCTTACAATGATTTAAGGAGGTATCATGTAAAAATAAATGTTGTCAAAGAGAGGGAAGTATACTTAATCTTCAGTTTCCTGGTCAGAACAGTGAGCAGCACTGCTCCTCCCTAATACCTCTCAGAGGAGTATGAATAAACCCTTTTTCCCACAGATCATGCGAGGACATGCTCGCTTATTGAGGCAGTGCATTTAATAGGTCTCTTCCTTCCCAGTTAGGGAACCTGCTGCCCTACAGTGACCCCAGCGTGGTGTTTGTCTTCCTATCTGTGTTCGCCGTGGTGACCATCCTGCAGTGCTTCCTGATCAGCACACTATTCTCCAGAGCCAACCTGGCGGCTGCCTGTGGGGGCATCATCTACTTTATCCTGTACCTGCCCTATGTGCTGTGTGTGGCCTGGCAAGACTATGTGGGCTTCACACTCAAGATCTTCGTGGTGAGAACCATCCCTGGGAAGTAGCTGCATACAGCCACCCCTGGTGGCTCACCTCCCTCTTGCAGTCCAAGCTGAGAGCAGAAAATGAGAGTGTGTGTCCGTGTCCGTGTGTGTCTGTGTGCGGGGCTGTAGAGGATTTTTGAGTCTTTGGGGCATCTTTGGAAGCATAAAATTCTAAAAGTTTTACGCTCTCCCGTGCATGCATTTCTGAAATGTGTGTGCATAATGAGGGGTTATAAATAGAATCCTTTTATATGCTGCTGGTGAGCCCACTCCCCTCAAGGGATCTATAGGTGAATCCTTCCATATCTTGTAATTGATCCACTTTGCAAATTCAAATTTCTCTAGGTGGAATTTATATTAGAAGTGTTAGGAAACAAGAGATGAAGAGATGGATAAGTGACTTTTGCCTCTTTCTCACAGAGCCTGCTGTCTCCTGTGGCTTTTGGGTTTGGCTGTGAGTACTTTGCCCTTTTCGAGGAGCAGGGCATTGGGGTACAGTGGGACAACCTGTTTGAGAGCCCCATGGAGGAAGATGGCTTCAACCTCACCACTTCAGTCTCCATGATGCTGTTCGACACCTTTCTCTATGGAGTGATGACATGGTACATTGAGGCTGTCTTTCCAGGTATATGGAGCTTCCACATACCTTTAGCTATCAGCTGGGGAAATGTAATTCCTGGCTGCCGAGCTCTGCCGTGTCTGTGGTAGAATTTCTGCAGGGCCTGGAGCTCCCTGGAAAGTGACTATGACTTTAGCCCCATGGCAAGCAAACAGACCAAGGAAAAGCAGCTGATGCTTACTACTGCTGTAGCCTTCATTTCTTGAGCCCTTTGTGCTGGTGCTGGGCAAAGTGTTGTGTAGACCAGGGGAGTTGCTCTTAGACCCACTTTTTTTTGCAAATGAGAGAACTAGGACTCAAGCTAACTGGCCTATGGACACATAGCTGGTCAGTGTTGGTGCTTGGAAGTGACCCCAGTTGGGTCATACTGGGTCACCTAGTCCAGGGGATTCCTCCTTCCAGTGCTGGCCCAGTTCTCTGATTCTGTATCCCTAGGATGAACCATCAGCAGAATTCCCTGAGTATAGCTTGTGAAGAGTAAGATATGTTAGCTTTAAGCCTTTATCTGTGATTTAATCAAATTAACATTCATAAAAATTCATTTTAGTTCTTCCCTTAATAAATCTCCTTGACCAAGAGTTGCCGTGGATAGATTTTTGGATAGATCAAATTCTATGAGAATGAGGTTTAATTTTTTCTGCTTCCCCTGGTTTTCCTCTGAGGGAGTGTATGCGGAACGTTCATTACCTCTACATGAGCTTCCTAAAGTGGATATGCCGTTTTGTATCCTACAGATCTGGGTTCAGATTCTGAGTCCTTCATTTACTAGCTGAGTGACCTCAGTAGGCTACTTATCCTTCAGTTTCCTCATCTGTAAAATGGGGCTGATAACCTGCCTTGTGGGGTTGTTTGACCATATAGTAGGTCTCAGGAGATGTGAGCTCCCACTGCCCCACCTCCATTCCAGGGTGCTACTGCCAGAGGCTGTGTCAAGGAGGGAGTAGTTCTGGCTGGGATACCTCGGGAATGCTAGGATGTTGCTGTGCTTGGCTTCCATCTTGGTTTTTATCTTTGCTTGCAGGCCAGTATGGAATCCCCAGGCCCTGGTATTTTCCTTGCACCAAATCCTACTGGTTCGGTGAGGAAAGTGATGAGAAGAGCCACCCTGGTTCCAGCCAGAAGGGGGTATCAGAAAGTAAGTGCTACCAAACCTGCCCTCCCCTTAGCCTAAGTGCTGTTGCCCCCACTGTCAGGAACAAAGGATGGCTTTTGCCCTTTAGAGAGTCTGAAACCACTCTAGGAGCAAAGAAATCACATACAGTGCATCTTTCCAAATTCTCCCATGACATTCATGTTCAGTGCTATTGTCGACTTATGGGGGAGTCGCTCTCTGGGTCCTTGAGGGACATTGCCTTTGTTTCCTTGGCTTCTAGGAAAGAGGCCCTGATATCTATACATTCACACCCCCACCCCCATGAACACACTGTTCATGATAAATTAACATCTAGGAAGAGGAGGTAAAGACAAAACTGTAGAACCATAACCTCGCTGCCTGCCTCGTCACAGTGATAGATATATGAGCCTGCGTAGGCTGACACCAAGTGGCTTTCAGAGCTCAGCCTGTGCTTCTTGATGTTCTCACCCTTCATTACTCAGGGCCCTAATCCTCTCCTGGCTCCTGATTGTAGGTGGGGGTGCCCACAGTTTAGCAAACTGTCTTTTGGGCTCTTTGCTCTGGTTCTTGCAGAAAAGCTATCTTTGTGCTAGTGTGGCTTCCTAAGTAGTTAATGAGTCCCTTTCTGCTGATCTCTTCTGTGCCTTCCCCAAGTTGCCAGTGGAAAAGTCTGCTGTTCTTAGGCATTCTAGACAACTACAACTGGCCCTTGCCCACTGTCCCACCTTTCCTGCTCTTCCTACTCAATCTCCTCTTTTTTTTTTTTTTAAGATTTTATTTATTTATTTGGTAGAGATCACAAGTAGGCAGAGAGGCAGGCAGAGAGAGAGGAAGGGAAGCAAGCTCCCTGCTGAGCAGAGAGCCCGATGGCGGGGCTCAATCCCAGGACCCTGGCCTCATGACCTGAGCCGAAGGCAGAGGCCTTAACCCACTGAGCCACCCAGGCGCCCCTTACCCAAACTCCTCTTAACACCAGCCTTTGGATTCAGTCTCCTAGAACATGTCCTGTTCTTCCACGTCCCCATGCCTTTGTATGTACTCTGTCCTCTCACAGGAGAACCCTTTCTCTGACTTGCCTGCTTTCCTCCTCCTTCCTCAAGATCTAGTTCTGTATCCCTACCCCTGAAGTAGTCCTTCTAGATTCCTAAGTAGTCAGACAGTTTCTCCTCCAAGATTGTGTGACATTGAAAAACAAACAAGCAAAAGGCCTTTCTATTTAAAATAATTATAGACTCATGGAAGTTGCAAAAAATAGTATTGGGGGGGTTTCCCTTGTGCCTTTCATTTTCGTTTCCCCCAGTGGTAATACCTTGCATAACTACAGCGCAGTATTGAAACCATGACATTGACACCTCCTTCAGACTGTAGAGTTTTACATGTACTCATTCATGGGTGTGCATTTAGTTCTGTGCACTTTGCCACATGGAGATTCATGTAATCAGCTCAGTCAAGATGCAAAACTGTTCCATCCAGACAGACTCCCTCATTCTGCCCCTTGCAAGCCATCCCCCCAACTTCTTCCCCAGTTCCTGAGACCTGTCAGCCACTACTCCTTTCTCCACATGGTATTTCCAGAATGTGATGTAAATGGAACCATATACTATGGGACATTTTGAGTTCGGCTTTTTGTCATTCAGCATCATTCCCTTGAGATCCGTCCAGGCTGTGATGTGTATTAACAGTTCACTCCTTTTCCCTGCTGAGTCGTGTTCCGTGGGCTGGGTATTCCACAGCTCTACGGCATCTTTAGATTTGTTTTTTAAACCGCTTTTAGCTTCCTGTGTTTTAATTGCTTGTCGAGTCTTTATAGACTGTGAATGTGCCTTTGTCAGTGAATTCCCATCTCCAACACTCCTGCCCAAATAGGCCCTAAATAAACGTTTGCCTGAGAAACCAGAAGTATCCGTGGAGAGAGGACAGTTGTGAGAGCATGAGCCGAGCCCCTGTGTCTTTGTGCCGTGCTCTTCAGTATTTGCCGTGGGTTCATTCCCATCCTGTCTTCTGTCTTCTGACAGTCTGCATGGAGGAGGAACCCACACACCTGAAGCTGGGCGTGTCCATTCAGAACCTGATGAAGGTTTACCGGGATGGCATGAAGGTGGCTGTTGATGGCCTGGCTTTGAATTTCTATGAGGGCCAGATCACCTCCTTCCTGGGCCACAATGGAGCTGGGAAGACCACCACCATGTAAGAGGAGGGTGTGACTGTCAGAGTCCGCTGTGGGTAGTTTCCAGAGTGCATTTAGAAATCAGGATGCAAGGGCACTGCATTGGTCACTGGGGCAAGGGCAGCAGCGCTGAGGGGAGGAGTTGAGGAATGTGAGATATTATCTCATCACAAGAGTGCTTTCCTCACTGCCGGTTTTGGCTAGATATTTTCTCGGCCTGAAAACAGCCTGGGAGCCCTCTTGGTGACCTTTCCCGTTTGGTTCTCAGAATTTTGCCCTGTTTCTGGAACCCTAAGGCTGTGACAGAAATGGTCTCCTTTTGAGCTGGTTTTATTAGAATTATGAAGCAAGAATATGGGAAGATTTGATATGTTGGAGGGAAGTAGTGATTTCCAGGAGCTCTGTCGCTAAGGAGGTGTGAGTAACAGCTGGCCATGTACTGCCTTTTCTGGGACCATTAGAGACCTATAAAGACCTTATGACGGGCAGCTTCACGAGGGAGCACATAAACACCAGAGTTAGCCTCAGTGACTTTCATTGCGGTCCCTCAACTATTGCCAAGGGCATATCTTTTCCTGTTTTTTTTTGTTGTTGTTGATGATAATGCAAAGTCAATATATGAACATTGCAGGTAATTTTTAAAAGGTACACAGAAATCCCACTGCCTAACACAAAACACTATTTTTATCACTCAATAACTTTTTCTGTCCATTTTTCATGGACATGATTTTAGACTTACAAAATGTATATTTCAAACTGTACTTTCTGTTGCAAGGTGGAGTCGTTAAAAAACACTTGTCCTGATAATGCCCTTTCCAACACATAGGACTTCTCCTGGTTATCCACTAAAGCAAAGACTTGTTTGCTTTGTAGGGGTCAGTTTGGGTCTGTTAGGAAGGAATGGGGGTACGTGTAGGGGGATTGATGCCTCTGCTGTAGGTGCCCAGGCTCTGCGCCCCGGCATGGAGCATTTCCAGGGGAATGGGGATAACACTGACTCTTGCCTCTTAAACTTTTGCACTCAGGTCAATCCTGACTGGGCTGTTCCCTCCCACCTCGGGCACTGCCTACATCCTGGGGAAAGACATTCGCTCTGAGATGAGCAGCATCCGGCAGAACCTGGGGGTCTGCCCCCAGCATAACGTGCTGTTTGACATGTGAGTACCAGTGCGCACTGAGAAGCAGACCCTACCTGCAAGTGTCTGTCATGAGTCATGGGCGGAGAGGGACTTAAGCATTCTACCTTCTGTGAGGATGGTGGGTCTCACCGCCCTGCACGGTGAGACCTGGTTGTCCTTCTGTTTTAGGAGAAGCAGGAGGTGAATGTCGGGTGAGAGATGTCCCATCAGTCCAGCTGGTGGGTGAGCCCTTGGGAAATGGTGCTTTCCATTACTGACCCTTTAGGGGCCAATTAGCCGGTCCCTTCTCCCACTACACTCTGGCCCAGCATTTCCTGCTGAAGACATTGCTTCCTTTCAGTTTGGCCTGTCTGCAATTCAGGGCCCCTCAGGGAGCCCTCGTGGTGGAGCTGAGAAAGACCTGGGCTCTGTGACCTTGGGCAAGGACTTCTCCCCTTCTGGGTCCCCGTTTGCTCTTACCTAAATTGAACAACTCAGGTTCATGCTCTCCACAGGGACCTCCCTTCTTGCACATTCTGAGTTCCTGGAGGGGGCTGCTCCAGGTGAATTCTGACCCAGTTACTTGGTCGATGGGGCTGTGGGGTGAGCCCCTTGAGGGCCTGAGATTAAACGTTGCAACTGCCTGATGTCTGGTGGCCAGGCCTGCTGGAACTAGGCTGGAACAGACCAGTTACATGCCAGCTTTGGCGTCTTCAGCAGTTCCAGTGGTTGCTTACCGTTGGTCTGTCTTGATTCTTCCTATTATTTTTCAGAAGTTGATAAAGTTAGAAAAGGTCAGGGAGGGGGCACCTGTTTTCTTCTGTTCTGGGTCAGGAAACACTGTGGGGTATGGAGCTGACCTGCCCTTGTGTCCCCAGGCTGACTGTGGAAGAACACATCTGGTTCTATGCACGTCTGAAGGGGCTCTCGGAGAAGCACGTGAAAGCAGAGATGGAACAGATGGCCTTGGATGTTGGTTTGCCACCCAGCAAACTGAAAAGCAAAACAAGTCAACTGTCAGGTGAGTTCCCCTTCCTCCAACACCCTGCCCCCCCCGCCATGGGAAAAGCAACAGCTGCCTCAGAGTTCCAGTGTAGGGGTGGGTGAGCAGGTCAGAAATGTGTCCCCGGCTTTTCCCCAGATGGGTGCCTCCATTCGTCTCTCAATGCCTCTGCTTTCACTGTCTGGGGCTGGTCCTGGAATGTCTCTCTCTCATAGGCGGAATGAAGAGAAAGCTGTCTGTGGCTTTGGCCTTCGTTGGGGGATCCAAGGTTGTCATTCTGGATGAACCCACAGCCGGTGTGGACCCTTACTCCCGCAGGGGAATATGGGAGCTCCTGCTGAAATACCGACAAGGTAGCTGATGTGTGTTTATCTCGAGGGAGGGAGGGAGAGGCTCTTGAGAGGTACGCCTGTGGCTGTGGCTCATGGCTGTTCTTGACAGAGCAGCAGAATTGCTTCTCAAGAACAATAAGGGACTTCTTTTCTTTTTTCTTTTTTTTTAAATTAATTTCTTTATTTGACAGAGATCACAAGTAGGCAGAGAGGCAGGCAGAGAGAGAGAGAGGGAGGAAGCAGGCTACCTACTGAGCAGAGAGCCCGATGCGGGGCTCGATCCCAGGACCCTGAGATCATGACCCAAACCGAATGCAGAGGCTTTAACCCACTGAGCCCCAGGGACTTCTTTTTTTAAAGCTCTATGCTCACCCATGGTATGGATGTGGAAGGAAAGCCTGATTTATAAGACACTTAACGTGTATGCCCTTCATTATCTAGGGGCTGGCAAGAAGAGAAATGGGGATAAGGGCATGGTCCCCAGAGCTACCTCTAGCTTAGAGCTTACAATGTCTATTGTAGCTGTGTTCCCTTTTAGACCGGTGACTGAGAACAGAGGCTGTGTCTTTGTTTATCTCTGTCCCCAGCATGGTACTCTGTATATGTTTGTTGAAAGAGTGGATGAGCAGATGAGGAATATGGACTTTGGAGCCAGTTCCCGTTGGCCCTGAGACCTTGGAAAAGTCATATAACTTGTCTCCATTTCTTTGCCTACAATAACAGTAGTGCCTGCCTCACAGAAGATTTAGTTAAATAAGAACGTATGCAGGCCACCCAGCACCCTGCCTGGTATGTGGCAAATTCCCAAATGAATGTTCCTATTCTGATTTCTGTGAGGATGGCTTTGCCACGCAGGCATCCAGATTCTTGTGCCTCAGTGGCCCCTGCTGATCTGTCTGTAGTTCCAGTGCTTCTGTTGTTGAGAACCAATAGGCCTCACTTGTCCCACATCCTTGTGTTTGTGCCTGGCAGGCCGCACCATTATTCTCTCCACGCACCACATGGATGAAGCAGACATCCTGGGGGACAGGATTGCCATCATTTCCCATGGAAAGCTGTGCTGTGTGGGCTCCTCCCTGTTCCTGAAGAACCAGCTGGGAACAGGCTACTACCTGACCCTGGTCAAGAAGGATGTGGAATCCTCCCTCAGTTCCTGCAGAAATAGCAGTAGCACTGTGTCATACCTGAAAAAGGTGAGTTGTATTTTCGGTGCTGGGCTGGTGCCGGGCCCAGGGAGTCAGGACTTGTTTGGCTGGGAGTGGCCTGTCCACATCCACCCCACTCTGCCACTTGGGGGGTCACCGTCTCCCTGCACTGCGGTCCCTTTGGAGTCACATTGTATTTCCTTTGTGGAAAGCTCAGGCCACATCTGTTCCTGCAGTCAGAGTGAGGTTGAATCACACATGTTATTACTTATGAACTTTTTTTTTTTAACTCCCGTCATCTCCAAGTGCAGAGCAATAGTGGGAGGGAGGTATTGTGATTATTATCTCAGATTAGGGAAATGAGGCTTGTAGGTCACTGAGCAGGTAAATAGCAGAGGTGGGACCAAACCCCAATAACCAGGTAGGTTTTCCTCTGTTCCACGGTACATGCCTGTGATTCATTTGTGTGCTGAAACCAGTGGCACCTAAAACATTGACATCCCAAACTTCAACTCCTATCTGCTTATTTACGTTTTAACTAGTGACCGGTTACTCGAAGTGTGAGGACCAGCAGCACTGGGACTACTTGGGAGCTTGTTAGAAATGCAGAAACGCAGGCCTAGCTCAGACTCACTAAATCAGAATCTGCATTTTAACAAGGTCCCCTGGTGGCTCAACAGAAATCAAGCTTTGAGAGGCCCCGAGCCAGACAACTAGGCAGGTGAATCCCATGCCTAGGAGGGTCAGTGAGTGGCTGGTGACAGCACTCAGCGGTCAGCTCTGTGCTGACCTCCCGTGCACACAGCACACACATGTCAGACGGGGGCTTCAGAAGCCACGGCTGCCCAGTCAGTTGCCTCCCAGGAGGAGCCACATGGTAGAGCCTCATGGAAGCCCTCCCTGGCGAAGGTGCTGGTGGCTGTACCTTGCTCGGTCCCTGACCCATTCTCACCTCCTTCTTTGCCATCAGGAGGACAGTGTTTCTCAAAGCAGTTCTGATGCTGGCCTGGGCAGTGACCATGAAAGTGACACGCTGACCATCGGTAAGGACTCTGGGGTTTCTTATTCAGGTGGTGCCTGAGCTTCCCCGAGCTGGGCAGAGTGGAGGCAGAGGAGGAGAGGTGCAGAGGCTGGTGGCGCTGACTCAAGGTTTGCTGCTGGGTTGGGGCTGGGGGTTGGAGTGGGGGTTGGGAGAGGGTGCAGCTTGGTGGCAGATTGGCTTAATGCTTGCTGGGGAGCCTGGAGCTTGGTGTGGCAGCTGGCAGGGCAGTGTCCCCGAGAGGCTGACATGACTGGGGGTGGAGGATCTCCTGGGGAATAGATCTGGCTGGACACTGGTGACCAGGGATGAGGAGCTGAGGGCCAAGCCCTGGGGAAGGGATTGGATCTCAGTAGCTCAGGAGACTGAGAGCCCAGGAGATGGAAAGCAGTCTGCTGGGTCTCCCTTTGGAGCTATATATAGGACACCAGTGTCACCAGTAACACCCATGGAGCAGAAGCCTTTACTGTGGACACCAGTGTCACCAGTAACACCCATGGAGCAGAAGCCTTTACTGTGTCCATCTGTGCCCAGTCCTAATACCTGGCGTTTTCCAAGGAGATGTCTCCTTCCACAAACTGTTTGATTAGTCCCTTATTGACATAAAGAGAAGGAGCCTCCTTTAGAAGGTTAGGAAGGGCGAAGAATCATTTAATTTTTCTTTACTCAGGTTTTCCATGGAAGAATCTTAGACTTTAGGCAATAGACACAAGACTTTCAACCTCTGAAAGTCTTCCCTCCTTCCACCCACCATTCCTTCCTTCAGCCCTTCGGTCCTTCCTTCCTCTCACCCACCCACCCACCTACCCACCCACCCACAATGTACTGGGAACCTATAGTGTTTCTGCCTTTGGTGATACAGAGGTGAGTAAGACCTAGTCCTTGCCCCAGGAACCCTCAGGCCAGAGATGAACACGTGGAAAGACTTGAGTATCGGAAATGGGTATCATGTGTGGGCAGCTGGCTTCTGAGGAGTAGGCAGAGGGAGAAGGTGAGGCATGGCTGGCTCTTGGTGGGAGGCCTCTGAGCCGGCTGAGCCGTCTTTGTGCTTTGGTCCCTACAGATGTCTCTGCCATCTCCAACCTCATCAGGAAGCATGTGGCTGAAGCCCGGCTAGTGGAAGACATTGGGCATGAATTGACTTACGTGCTGCCCTACGAAGCTGCCAAAGAAGGGGCCTTCGTGGAACTCTTCCATGAGATTGATGACCGGCTCTCAGACCTGGGCATCTCTAGTTACGGCATCTCGGAGACCACTCTGGAAGAAGTAAGTTTGGTGACTGACTGTTTGAGTAGAGCAGGTTCCACAGTCCCAAGGCCAGACAGGTAGCCTCCTTTTCCCCCAGAGGAATAGGATTACCATGGAACTGGTCATTTGAGTCCTTACATCATTGATTTTGGGGTATTATTGGCCACAGTTAACCCTTTAAAGTTGTGGTGGAAGATAGCAGGAGAGCTGTATTAGGATGGCTCCCTGACATGGCTGTGTTGTGGCCACGCATAGGAAAGAGCCAACATTTATGGAAAATCCACGTGTGCCTGGTACTGAACTGGGTGTGTGGGGTTGTTTGTTTTAATTATTGTAGGGGCTCCTGGGTGGCTCGGTTGGTTAAATATCTGGCTCTTGATTTTGGCTCAGGTCATGATCTCAGGGTCGTGAGATTGAGCACTTTGTCAGGCTCCGTGTTCAGCTCAGAGTCTGCTTGGGAGTCTCTCTCTCTCCCTTTCCTTCTGTCTACCCCCACCCCCATCCCCCCACCCCGCTTATGCATACCCTGTCTCTTTAAATAAATAAAATCTTATAAAAATCATTGTAACTTAATATTATTCCCATAATAAGATGATAAAGTGGGCACTCGGGGATACTGAGCAGGGGTCAGCATTGAGGGTTTGGGCTACAAAACCCATGCTCTCTTCACTGTGTAGCAGTACCACCTCCCTTTAGAGGTCATAGCTTCATAAACCTGGAGTGCTGGAAAGGATACAAAAGTTGTCTGGCCCATTGGTCCCCAGGCTTGGCCATAAGAGAAATCATCTGTGGGGTTATTATTGACAATAGAAATTCTGAGTCCTCAGCGCCAGGGTCTTTGGATCAGAATTTCTAGAGGTAAGACCTCAATGTCTGTGCTTTTATTACATGCTTTCTGGGCCGTGGTCTGTGGTTCAGAGTTTAGAAATCATTGTCTAGTTCACATTCTCTTATGATGTTTGAGTCCCTGCCATACTATTTCTAGTAATGGGAAACCCATCATCTTTTGATCATTTGGTCATGGATGACTTATCACGATGCTGGCCTACTCAAAGATCTGGAGGCCATACACCTGGAAGAACCCAAACATGCTCCCTGTAGTTTCAGGACACATTTCTTCTCTGGTGTTCTAATGTCCTACCTTTAATTTGAAAATGATTGTCTGGATTGATAGTTCTCACAACTGGGAATGTGTTCTCCAGTGAAAAATGCCTTCACTCCCAAGTGACTGGCAAAGTATTATTGATAAATGCAGCTTTCACTTTTTGTCTTCAGGGGCTAACAAGCCACTCAGTAATGTAGTAATCATGGCGGTGATGGTTGCTCTCATCACATGGTGCTTATACTGTTCTCACTCCTGTTTTTCAGATATTTCTCAAAGTGGCTGAAGAGAGCGGGGTGGATGCGGAGACCTCAGGTAAGCCTCTGGGGCGACTGTACGCTCTCTGGGCAGTGCCTCCTGTAGGCTGTCTTAGCTCCCCAGTAGTGTGCCTTTCCCTTTCACTTGTTTTATCCCCTCCTTACTTTTAGTGTATACGTTTGTGACAGATGAGGATGCCTTGTTTTGTTACAAATAAAATAAAATGTGGAATTCTTTCCTTCTGCCTGCAGATGGCACCTTGCCAGCAAGACGAAACAGAAGGGCTTTTGGAGACAAGCAGAGCTGCCTTCGCCCATTCACTGAAGATGATGCTGTTGATCCTAATGATTCCGATGTAGACCCAGGTCTGTTTGGGCGAGATTTGTGTCCCATTGTTTGAAAGTGAATTCTTGTCTAGTATACTCCCATGTTTCCTTTTAACGAACGGCCTTGAGCATGGGATGATAGATGCCTACAGGGTCCAAAGGGAAGTGGGAAGATGAAAAAAGCTGCATTCCTTACAGCATTGGGCAAACTATCAGATCTGAAGGATCCCACCCTCATCACTTTCTTCATTTAGTTGAGATCTTTCACTTGAGACAAGTATAAAAGGATGGCCCTTCAGTCTTCTGAATCCATTTATTATCTTTTCTGTGGAGACCCAGTTTCTTGCCTAGATAAGGCGTTTAAATTGTTAAATAAATATTATTTGAATGGATGAATGATTTGAACTAAGTCACCTTTTAGAGCTAATTGTACCTAAGACTTAGATATTCTGGTAGAGTGTGTCCCTGTGTGTTTGACTGAGATGGAGAAAGGGAGGCAAGAAGTCAAGCAAATATTGGTAAGATGTGAAAGCACCTCAGTTAGGAATCATTAGTTTAGGACAAGGATTTTTGTAAAATTGTATACAATTTTGAGATACAGAAACTTTTTTGGCTCTCCCAGTCCTGCTCCTATGAGTGTGTGGCCCTCATGTTTCCCGTGATTTCAGACATTGTCAGTACTTAGATCATTTGAATGTGTCCACCTTTTACCAAAATAACAGATGGTAGGCAAATCAGCATTGTCTGTTTTCAATTCTGTCAGCCAAATGCATGGCTTGTCTCATAGAATATTCTTTCGAGGATGACGTTGTTCATCTGAATGACTTGATATACAACAGTTATGTGTGAACACTTCTCTTCAGTTGTCTCAAGGCACCTTCATTTTCTGCACTCCTCACACAAGAGCCGGAAGGCAGAAAGCGCCACTGTTGGACATCTGGGGTCCTAACTTTTCCTGGGGCAATGATTTGTCACGAAAGCCCTTGACTTCTGAGAGACTTTGGCTTTCAAACACAAGCCTCCAAGATGGTTGCTGAGGATGCTGGAGGGAGGAGCGTGGTAATGTCAAAACTGCCTCAGATAATAGGTGACCTTCGGTGTTGGTTTCCTGCAGAATCCAGAGAAACAGACCTGCTCAGCGGGATGGACGGCAAAGGCTCCTACCAGGTGAAGGGCTGGAAGCTCACACAGCAGCAGTTTGTGGCCCTTCTGTGGAAGAGGCTGCTGATTGCCAGACGGAGTCGGAAGGGATTCTTTGCTCAGGTGACAAGTGCTGCTCCAGGCCAGCAACTCAGGCTTCACGGGTGGGCTGCAGGCTCCCTGACCAGTGAAGGCAGGAGAGGGTCGTGGGTATGGGGTGGATGCTGGAGCCAGACTTTTCATCTTTCAATCCCAGTCCTGCTTCCTGTCGCTCACACATCTGTGGGCAAGTTACTTCTCTGTGCCTCCTTGTCCTTATCTTTAGAAATGAAGATAATGTGCCTATGACGTAGGGTTGTTATGAGGATTCAAATGAGTAAGTGCTTAGAATGGGCCTAGCATTAAGTAGTGCTGTGTGTGTGTGTGTGTTCACATGTATATGAGTTTTATGGTAGAGGTGCACTTGACATATAAACCTCTTGGAAACGTGACTTTTCTGTAAGTTGATGTTTAACTGCAAATTGATAGAAAGCTAGCCAGACAGGTCAGAAAAAAGATAGGCAAACAGAACAGACTCATTACATTGCTGCCTATGTGTTGGTGTTTCCATGCTAAGGCACTTGGTGAGTAGGGATAAAATTATCCTGCTGTATAAAATCGAGAAGTACAGAGAAAGTATCTGCAGAAATTCTTCCCTGCAGACTATGTGGGTAATGTAGAGAGTATGAGTTTGGAGCACAGAGAACTGGGTTTGAATGCTGGTTCTGCCACTTACTGGCTGTGTGACCTTGGGCAAGTTACTTAGTCTCTCGGAGATCAATTACTTTGTTTTTTGATTGGTGATAGGGTTGTAACAATAACGAAATGAGATAATTGTCGTATAGTGTTTTCTCAGAAAGAAGGATTTCGGTAATGACGCTTTTGGAAGCCATTCCATGGTGACAGTGGTTGCTGTTCCCTTTCAGAGCGTGGGATCTGACTGGGTCAGTTGGTCTTGGTCTGTAGATTACAAGTGAGATTACTGAGGCCACAGTGGGAGTGACTTCCTGTGGATACATTTGTGGCAGACACAGAACCAGGCTTTGTGTCTTCTGGCTCCTGGTGCAGGGCTGGTTCTGTCGGCCTTTCTCTGAGCTGAGCTGGGCTCATGGCCCATCGTGGTCTTTCTTGGGTCTTCAGAGGGAAGAGGGCAGGACCCAGTGTTCTGAGTCCCCCTGACATGTGACCACCATTTTCTCTGTAAAGTTTTCAGCTTCAAGTCTCTGCTGGGTGGCCACAGCCTCTGGCTTGTGCTGTCAGCCTCCAGAAATGCCCTGGAGGGAGGAGGTTTTGGTTTCAGGATCTGCTGCTTCCCACCTGCCATGAATGCCTTGGTGGCGCTTTGTTCTGGGTCCTGTGGCACTCACTTGCATGCGGCCTGGTCTGGGAGACTGGCTGGACTATTAGGGGCTTGGGCCAGGCCCCTTTCTCTGACATTTGCCCTTGTTTTTTGTTTTTTCTTTGCCATTTCCTTTCCCCCTCTCTCCCCTGGTTGTAGATCGTCCTGCCAGCTGTGTTTGTCTGCATTGCCCTGGTGTTCAGCTTGATCGTGCCCCCCTTTGGCAAGTACCCCAGCCTGGAACTTCAGCCTTGGATGTACAACGAACAGTACACGTTTGTCAGGTACGTGTTTGCCTTCTGTGCCCCAGGAAAGAAGAGAGCTCAGGCAGACCACGTGTTGACGCTGCTGAGGGCCAAGGGGAGGTGGACTCAAGAATTGCACGGTGGAATAGATTTTATCAGCTGTTCTAAAGCCCCGACACAAACTAATATCGTATGCAAAGAATGGCAGCGAACTGAACCTCCACTAACAGACCCACCTCTCTTCCTGCCTTTGAGCTCATTTCTTTTTATTCTGCTATGATTGGGAATGGTCATCTGTGTTTTACCTAAATAATCTGCCCTTGCAAAACATCTGTGAGGAAGCTATAGTCTGTGGGCTTTTCATAGCTATGTTTTAATTTTGTCGTTTTGTCCCAGGGCTTCTGTACATTGTCACAGCTTTACACCTCCAGGTTCTCGTTTGCACAGTACATTTTGTGTATTTATTGTGTTACAGATATTAAAGAATTAGAGAATGCTAGCTACTCTGTAACAATCCAGTGCTTCAAACAAAGGGCCAAAGGAATTTCTCTACTTCCTTCCACAGAAATTTTCCTCAGTCTTATAATATTTGTAGACCTTTAGATGGGGAGAAGTATCTCAGTGATGTAAAAGGGAAGCTTTAAAAGAAACAACGAAAACAAAAAAATACATGAATACACAAATCGATTCTTCCTTCTCTAGCCACAGTCCAAAGCCAGGGCAATCCTTCAAGCTGGGAGAGGGGCCTGGAACAGATCCTTCCCTATTACCTAAAAAAGGAGCATTGACTACCACCATTGTAGCCTCTAGAACTGTGATACTATCCACATCTGTTGTTTCAGCCACTAGGCTTGTGGTATCTTGGAATAGCACCCTTAGAAAACAAATAAAAACCTTCTTAGAGGAAAAGAAACCAACCAGAAACCCAAGAGAAAGTGGAAAAGAAAAAATATCTATCTATCTATATATAGATAGATAGATATCTATATCTATCTATCTATATATAGATAGATATAGATATCTATCTATCTATAGATATATATCTAACCCTTAAAACTGTTTGGTTCACGTTTCATGGATAATTCTGAAAGTATTTTTGAAAAACTGGTCCTTAACAAATTCCTTCACATTAAAGAAGTATAGATAGATAGATAGATAGATGTGCATGGGTGTTTATACATGTGTGCACACCCATATACACAACTCCACTCATTACAACTTATACAAGCTGAGAGGGCTGTCCCTTACCTTGATCTCAAATACGCAGTCAGTGTCCTCTCCTTTTGGGTACATTTTGTATTTTGCTCATTTTGGTTAAGAGCGCTTGGCACTAGGAAGTGCCTAATAAAGTATTCCGTTTAGAAGAACAATTCCACTTCCCAGTTCCTGGTTTTAATAAATTGCTGAGCTGGCTGCTTCTCATGTACCCACAGTAATGATGCTCCTGAGGACATGGGCACCCAGGAACTCCTGAATGCCCTCACCAGACACCCTGGCTTCGGGACCCGCTGTATGGAAGGAAATCCGATCCCGTAAGTGCCCCTTGAGCTCTGAGACCCTCGATAGCTGGGTTGTCTTCTGCTTGTCACCTGGTTCGATGTCTGCTATATTATGTTTATCAGCTATGATAGATGCCACATGGTGACTAGGATCATTTGTCCTTTGAAGCATTTTTTATTTTAAAAAAACTGTTGTAATAACCTAACCAGAATCTAGGAACGAACAGAGCCAAGTAGGAGAGTTTTCTATCATCCTGCAGAGCAAAATCACTACAGACATTTATTTGCTGCTTTAGAGATTAATATTTAATTCAAATAGCACTTTGTACAGATCCAGTGCTTTCCCATTCTTCTCTTCTGCCAACTCCTATACCTAAAAGCAGAGATAAGCTGCCATTATATAGAATTTGCAGTTTGATTTATCAGCTTCTTCACTCTACCAACCCGAAAACGTGTTCTGTATTATTGTGTATAAAAATGGATTTTTTCTTCTTTTGGGGTTGCATATTTTTGTACTTTCCTTCAAAATCCTTTTTAGGGAAGTAGGTAGTATCTGGATAAATGCAGTGAAATGCCCGTGTCTCTAAGTGGGCTGGGGTGTGTTGGAGGTCTTCGTGCATAACAACTGTGAAGAGAGGTGAGTTTCCAAGTGACCCAAGCCAAGGCCCATGCAGGTTCCAGGCTCAGGTAGAATGAGGTTCTGGCTCAGTTATAACACAGACTTGGAAGGAATTATAGAGAGTGTGGAAGGTATAGGAAGATTGGAGAAGGACTAACTTGAGTTCCAGGTTTTAAAGGGAAGTTACTGGCTTTGCAAGTGGACAGACCAGTGAGCCAGTTACCTGGGCATGCAAGGTTTCAGAGCAGATTTCTAGATAGATAACTATCATGTCCTTGCTAGCTCTTATTATTCGATATTTACTAAACATTTGCTGGTACTTACTGCTTCAGGGGTAAGTAAGCCCTAGCAGCCAGTATCAGTTCCTAAAGAACAAAATGACTGTGATGGAAAAGGGCATGGAGACATCCTCTCTGAGGTCACAAGACTTTTGACTTTTGACATACTTGCATGTTTCATAGGTGAGGTAGAAGAATGAGGTAAGGTGGATTCATCATACACCACTGCTGAGCAGTATGGACTCAGATAAGTGGCAGCAGAGAAGGAGCTGGGTCTGGGCTCAGAGCTAGACAGGTTCAGACAGCGGAGGTCTGGTCCCTGCTGTCAGAGGATTCACAGGGTTGGGGCAGAGCACCGCTGTGTGTGTGTATGTGTGTATGTGTGTGAGGCGTGGGGTGATGGAAGGTCTCCATTCTGGTAGCTTTTCCTGAATTTGCATTCTAGGTTTCACCAAAAGGAGTACAACTGAGGGAAGTTTGACTGGGACATTGACTGTGGCATTGAGCTTTGTCTCAGCCAGTCATCTTGTGAAGTTTTGGAGTGTGAGCCCCATGTCTTACTTTGACTTTTCCATCAAGTTACAGAGCCTTAGAGAGAACTACAGAGCAGTACACAGATCTATTCCTTTGATGTTTTTAGTACATAGAAGAATAACATAAAGAGTGTGGCTATGCATTGTAGAATCTTGGAACTGGAAGGGATATTAGAAATGACATGTTTCACCATGTCATTTTGTAGTTTTATTTTACTGGTGGAGAAGATAAGACCCAAGAGGGCAAGCGTGTTAGTGATGGTCCACAGTGATTCGGAGCTCACGTCAGGCATAAAGGCCTCGTGATCCTTGCAGACAAACTAGCGCTTCATGTACTAAGCACCCTCACTGCGTCCCCTCCAAACCCCAATTCTGTACTCATTTTAAAACATAAAGCAAATTTGCCATTCTGTGCCAGATTCACAGCACATTGAGCATAACATGCAGACTCCTTCCCAGGCCCATGTCATCTTGCCCCTGCTTCGCCCCACCCGTCATCTCCCATCTTTCTCCCTCCTACCTCATCCCGTCCCATCTCACTGCCTTCCTGCTGTTCCTCAAACATGGAAGTTCATTTCTTTTGAGGGACTTTGTAGTTATACCTTCTATTGCCTTTGCCTGTAGTGTTTTCTCTCCCCAAATCTTTCCCTGGCTGCTGCTTTCTGATCGTTCATGCCTCGGAAGAAGTATCACCCTCCTAGGAAGAAGTAGTCTGTCTTCCCCTGATTCACTGTTCTCTTATTTTGCTTTATTTTTGGCTAAGTGACATTTGCTTATTGCCAAATTCCTCTACAGGAGGTAGGGACTTTGTCTTGCTCACCCCAGACTCTCAAATATGCAGAACAGTGTCTGGCACATAGTATGTGCTCAGTGAATATTTACTGAGTGAACACAGGGGCAAGAGACCAAATGCTGGCAGACTGGATTGACTGGAGTTTGGTACATGAGCATTTAGGGCCTCTTTGTGTTCCTTCATCCTTAACTGTAAAGTGAGTTTGCAGCTTACAGGTCTGTGGGGAGATCAGCAAATGGTGAGGGCACAGATGCCTGTTTGTGGTTGTTACTGATTGGTCTGTGTTCCCGAAGCTCCAGGAAAGGCCAGGTCCTCTCAGGTGATGCTACCTTTGATGTCCTCCCTTTCCAGAAACATGCCCTGCTCTGTGGGGGAGGAGGAGTGGACCACTGCCCCGGTCCCCCAGACCATCGTGGACCTCTTCCAAAATGGGAACTGGACGATGGAGAACCCCTCACCCACCTGCCAGTGTAGCAGTGACAAAATCAAGAAGATGCTGCCCGTGTGTCCCCTGGGGGCAGGGGGGCTGCCTCCTCCACAGGTGAGTCGCTCTCCGTGTGACTGAGCAGATGTCAGTGCAGGCGGGCTGAGAGCTTCTGCTGGGGAGGAAGGAACGACTAAGCTATCCTGTCAGGGGGTTGTCTTTCAGTCTTGAGCTTAATTCTTATTAGAGAGAATAGCATGTGGGTTTTGAGGGGAGGGACTTGCTCTGCAAGTTCCTATACCTTAGTGTAACTTGTTTCTCTAATTTGAAAAGTCAGCCTAGCTTACTTACTTGTTTGAGTTAAAACCAGATCTCAGTACTCTGGATCCATGGGCTGTGGAAGGCACAGTCTGGTTTCTCCCACTGAGGTAATGTGACACAATATCTTGTGACAGACCTGGCTCCATCCCTGCTTGTGCCACAGATGAGCTGGTGACCTCAGACAGGCCGCTCAGCCCCCCTGGGCCTGTTTCCTCACCTCTGAATTAGGGAGGCAGGCCCATGAGACTTCTGTGGGTCTTAAAACTCTGACATTCTCTGAGACTGTGAGTGTGGGGAGCAGTTCTGAGCCTTTTTCTGAGAACAGTTTCAGGAAGAGGCTTGCTTGTGGTCTCCCTCTGTTGCTTTATCAGCATCTAGGTTGCAGGGTGAGGACAAGTAATTGTAAATGGGTGTGAAAACTCAAGTCCTGGTTACTTCTCTTTAAAATAACAGTATCTAACAAATAATACATTGTATGTTAATAATAAATAAATAAAATAATGGTGTATCTATTTATCAATATAATTCTAATGAACCAAAGAAGTCTCTGGGCATAGTCAGTGATATTGCTCCCTGAGAGCCTCGGTGACTGTAACGAGTCATGTTCCACTGTCTGTTGTTGAGTAGCTCAGAATAATTTCCTGGGGGACATCTTGGCTTGGCATAAGTGAATGGCTGATGGTGAGGGCAGAATGGACTAGGCCTCGGTGTTTGGCTGATGGCAGTGCCTGGATCCTGTGGGCAGGATCTGGTCACACTGTGAACCGTGATCAAAAAACATGTGTCATTGTAGTCCTTGATCTTTTTTTTTTTTTTCCCCTGTTTCAATTGTGGTCCATAAAGACATTTGTGCTTGTTTTTTTCTATGATGACAGAGAAAACAGAACACTGCAGACATCCTTCAGAACCTGACGGGAAGAAACATTTCAGATTATTTGGTGAAGACCTATGTGCAGATCATAGCCAAAAGGTCATTATTTACTAAACTTGGCCCTTTTTTCAGTCCTGAATAGGGGAATTAAATGTTTAAAAATAGCTTAGTGCTGGGGAAAAATATCAAATTTTGGCCTCATGTTGGCTTTTGGAAGTTTAGGATAGTCTCCCAACCTAGAACAGATAAATTTTTTGAAGTTTTAATTGTCAGCATCAAGATAAGGCTGCCCTTATCATTGTACGGCTGTGCAAGAGAAAAATTCTGGAGAGCAGATGTACAGTATTGTGATTATAGTTAGCAATACCAGATTATAAACTCCAAAGTTGCGAAGAAACTAAATTTTAAATATGCTTACCATAACAAAAGGGATGATGATTTTAGGACATGATGGAGGTACCATGGTTATCATATTATAATATCTAAATATGTCTTATCAGACTGTTATACACCTTAAACTTATACTGTGTTCTATGTCAGTTATAGGTCAGTAAAAAAGTAAATCTGGATTCAAATTTGAATTCTGTTACTTACCATCTGCTTTACCAGGAGCAGCCAGTTGTCCTTGAAAAAGTCTTCATTTGTAGAGTATGTGATATTCTTATTATTTTGTGGTTGCTCTTATTATTTTGTTGTGTAAACTGAATGACATTGATATGTATAAAGTGCCTCTCATGAATGGAATGTGTGGTAATGTGGATGATACGTGGCATTATGAAGTGAGCCCTTGGCCAGCTCAGTGGCCTAACATGGCTGTGGAGGTTTGGAACAGCTCCGAAGTTTCTGAGGCTATCAAGGCACAGTGTTGAATACTTACTTGATGCCCAGGATATGTTTGTTCTGGTCTCCTTTTGGTTTGTTGGGCTTCTCTGTTAGGTGTTCTCAGTGACTTTAAATGACAGGGGTATGCTTCAAGAAAGAGCCATAACATTTCCACGTCCTCCATAGTTGATGTACTACCTTGAATTCAGTAAGTTTTGGGGCGCCTGGCTGGTTCAGTTGGTAGAGAAGGTGACTCTTTTTTTTTTTTTTTTTTAAAGATTTTATTTATTTGACAGAGAGATCACAAGTAGGCAGAGCAACAGGCAGAGAGAGAAGGGGAAGCAGGCTCCCCACCTAGCAGAGAGCCCAATGTGGGGCTCAGTCCCAGGACCCAGAGATCATGACCTGAGCCAAAGGCAGAGGCTTAACCCACTGAGCCACCCAGGTGCCCCGAGAATGTGACTCTTGATCTCAGAGTAATGAGTTCAAGCCTCACATTGTGCATGGAGCCTCCTTCAAAAGAATTTAAAAAAAAAAAAACACAAAAACAACTTTTATTTCACATCTTTGTCTGTAAGGTGGTTTTTGAAGTGGTTTAATCCAAAGCATGATTTTCATATAAATAACAAGGTTTTAAGATGGGGAGAAGGAAAGACATAGTGACTGGGGTGGATGTCCTTCTATGCGTACCACCCCTGCCCAAGACTGATCACAGGATTCTTTCTATCCTGGCTTGTCTCCTCAGGTAGATAGTAACTTCTTTTGTATCATCAGGAATACAGGAATACGATCAATGTTTCTTTGAACTGATTTTTGGTATCTTTTTCTTTGGCTTCTGCAGTTTAAAGAACAAGATCTGGGTGAATGAGTTTAGGTAAGTTGATCTCTTTCTGTGCTAGCTTGTATTTTGTCTGGACTCCTGTAGTTCAGAAGGATGACTTTGATCCTGGTATCTCGGGTCCCAGCAAGTTGGGGTGTGGGAATTGTTTTGCCCTTGGTGTTTCTGCTCAGTGCTCAGCTGCTGCTTTAGATGCCCTTGAAACATTTGGCATTTTGATCCCCATGAGGAGATTCAGTGGTTTCTTGAAGGTCTCTAGGGATTTAGCGGGGAAGCACGGTGTTGGGAGGGAAATACCTTACTCTATTTACACTCCCCCTGCTTCCCCCCCTTCCCCCGCCCAAATTAGATTCCCAATGGGCCCTGGGGACTCCAGAACAATTTCTCAGGCCTTTAGAAAGAGACCAAGAAGGTCTTGGATGAAATAAGAGGCATTGAAGCTATTTATTTTCACAGTGTTTGAAATTCTCTCTCTTTATTGGTTTTGAAGGAACAGGTGGCACTAGAGAAGAAAGGCAGGAACAACCCTTGAAGCCAGTTTGTCCTTCTAGAAAATGAGATGCCTTATATGGCTGCCTCAAAACTTAGCTCTGTCACTGTTGCCCACCTTCCCACTTTTCCTTTTTTCCCAGGGGCCAACACCCATAGAACTCTGCACAGAGCAGATACAGACTGGGGCCCCTAAAGTGCCTTCATGCTAGGAAAGGCCTATGGCCTGTCTCTAAGCCTCCCTAGGCTACTCTGGTCACTGTCCTCCCCTAACTCCCCGTCTCCTTGCCTTGACATTCAGAGACCCATGTGAAAGGGCATGGGGCCACTGGGGGAGGGGACAGGGAGGGGAAGGAGGAGCATCTATGAGATGAAAGACACCTCACTCTGTGTGTAATCCCAGAGCAGCTTCTTCCCCCTTGGGCAGTAACCCTAAGAGTCAAGAGATTGCCAGAAGACATCAGAGGAGGCCAAGATGAAGCTTTCTCCAAGTCTAGCTTTGGTCTTGCTTCGAATAAGCATTCACCTCCATGACGCATACACTCATTCATGTGATGTCTGCTGCTGAATGGTACTGTGTACGGCTCTGTCTTCTAATGTCAGGTTGTCCTTTTAGGTATGGAGGGTTTTCCCTGGGTGCCAGTAATTCTCATTCACTTCCTTCAAGTCAAGAAGTTAATAATGCCATCAAGCAAGTGAAGAAGCACTTGAAGCTGGCCAAGGTAGGTATCCGTCCTAGGACGTGTCAGAAAGATGGGCCCAGAGTTGCCACTAAGTGGGAGTAGTTGGCAGGTACATCTAATCACCTTACCACTTACTGTTTTTAGGACTGAATACAAGGCCATTATTGGCATCTGCTGATCTTGCACCTGCCAAGACTGAGCTACTCAGTATATATTTAATATCTGAAAACATAGATCAAAAAAAAAAATTCAGAGGTTTAAAAGCTCTCATTATAACTTCCTTTGTGAATTTAGCCAGTAGGTAAATAAACTGGGCTTTGAACATACTTACTGAAACAATCACTGGTTACAAAGGAAATGAATCATTTCCTTTACACTGGTGGCAGGACCTTGTAGGCTCTCACTTCATTTCTCAGTGTTTTGAGTTTCCCGTTTTCTAAATGAGAATGAGGGCTCCGCGGGCCTGGATTCCAGGATCATGGTATCCATAATAGTCCTAGAGTCTGTATCTCCGGTTTTGAGGCCCAGATCCCATGTGTCTGACACATCTGCCCACTGGGCATAGTTCTGGGTCTTTAGAGGACCCCTGGGGAACACTTTGAAGGATGCTCCCCACCCAGTTAGGCAAGACCTCTGCCCCTGGCAACTTGGAGTTCCAGGGTGTCCCTGTGATTCTTTCAAAACTTGTGGTTTATGGCAACACTAATGCTTTAGATTTCTGGTCACTTGTTTCTCGGGCGCCCGTCCTACTGTGGTTTCCTGTCTTGCTCGGCTGAACAAGGCAGTATCAACATTGCCCTTCACAGGGTTGTCCTGTTGCCCTTCCCTTGTGAACCATCCCAACTGAGGCAGGTTTCTGTTGTTCACAGGACAGTTCTGCAGATCGATTTCTCAGCAGCCTGGGGAGGTTCATGACAGGACTGGACACGAAAAATAATGTCAAGGTGAGGCCCTGTGTTCCGGTAGCTTCTTGATGAACAATAGTACTTAAGTACTTTCAGCTCCTAATGTTGATAGGCATATTCAAGACAGAAAAGAGCAGGCTCCTAATTTTACCATGGAGCCCAGACAGTATGGTGATAAAGAGAATTGGCTTTCCAACAGATGTACCAACTTAACCGCTGTGACCTTGACCAAGTTAGCTAGCCTATTTAAGCCTCGGTTTCCTAATCCAAGAAACAGAGGCAGGAGTCATGTCTTAAAGCTGTGGTAAGGATTGAGTGAGTTGAAGATCAGAAGTAGCACAGTGGCTGGGTTACCTCTTTGCCATGTTCTCTGACCCTAATGTTTTATCTTGGTGTATGGAATTCCAAAAATGTCTTACATGTGCAGGATTTGGAAGCATTACTTTGTACCTGGTGTCTTTTATTTCAGGTGTGGTTCAACAACAAGGGCTGGCATGCCATCAGCTCTTTCTTGAACGTCATCAACAATGCCATTCTCCGGGCCAACCTGCAGAAGGGCGAGAACCCCAGCCAATATGGGATTACGGCCTTCAACCACCCCCTGAATCTCACCAAGCAGCAGCTCTCAGAAGTGGCTCTGTAAGCATGGCTGTATCTAACTGGGTGGGACGAGGAGAGGAGAGGCTGTTGGTGGGACCACCATGTTGGGGAGGGAAGTGTGAAGCTGCTTGTAGAGTACCAGCTGAGGATACAGTTACATTATGAATTCAGGTTCTGGGCAGAAAATGATCGCTTTATGAATCGGCCAGCAGGGATTAAACTGCAGAAGATCAAGGATTTTGATGGATAAAAACCATTACATGTAGTGAATTTATATAAAGTGAAATTGTCTGTAAAATCCTAAAATAATTTAACTCATCATTAACACAGTGTTTAAGAGAAAACCAGCTCTTTTAGTTTTGAAACCACTGTTTGTAAACTTGGTGAAACATGCTTTTATCAGCTTGTCCTTTTAATTCCTGAATTAAGCTTGTGTGTGTGTTTGTGTGTGTGTCTGTGAGAGAGAGAGAGAGAAGTTTAAAGCCAGTATGATACAGTTTAAAGTGCTCAACCTTTGGAATCATAGACATCTGTGTTTGACTCTGGTTTTTATATTTCTAGATGTATGGTGTTAAATGAGGCAATTCATGTAAATTGCCAAGTCCAGCACTCAGCACATCGTTGATATTCAGCACATGTTAGATTCTTTCCTGTGTACAGAGAGTGGCACAGCTATTTCTGCTTAACTCATGTAGAATACCAATACATACCACTAGGATCTTTATGCCAACTTTATATAAAATTAATGCATATAAAAATAGTTTGTTATACCCTGTTTAATGGACTTATAACTATTCTCCTTTAATAGAATCTGATAGAATTTTTGCTGTATGTTAGATCGATATGCTACACACTATTGTTTTCGAATTTATTTATAGCCAAAAATTATTTGAATAGTTTCACCCTAATACTTCTGCTTTATTTCATTTTTCAGGGTACACTAGTCCTATATGTGTGAACATTTACAACTTAATGCTCTTCAGGGTCAAGAACAGAAGGCCAAAGTGAATGCCATTTGGCCATTCTTAGACTTCCCTTAATAATTTCATTATGGCAATGGATTCTTTTTTACTTCATTGAAATTAGCTTTGCATTTTAATTATTAGGGTTTTTTTTTTAATTGAAAATAATCATCTTTAACGCTGAGTAAAATACATTTGGTCAGTCGATTTTTCCCTCTGGGCTGTGCCTCACATTTCCGATATCTGTGTATGTGTGTTTGCGTGCAAGCGTGCATGTGTTCGCATGTGTGTGTGTGTGGGCGTGTGCACAGTTGCATGCGTGTATCTTGCTTGCTTGAGTTCTCAGCTGCATCAGTGGCCCCTCATATCGTCATTGTCTTTCTTTTTCAGGATGACCACATCAGTGGATGTCCTTGTGTCCATCTGTGTCATCTTTGCAATGTCCTTCGTCCCAGCCAGCTTTGTTGTGTTCCTAATCCAAGAGCGGGTCAGCAAAGCAAAGCACCTGCAGTTCATCAGTGGAGTGAAGCCTGTCATCTATTGGCTCTCTAATTTTGTGTGGGATATGGTAAGAACCTCCTTCTGCTGCTGTTTTATAAATCATTAGGGCCATGGATTGGATGAAAGGGTCCTGGGCTTTTCTAAAAGTGTTTTAGGTAGTCAAAAAGAATGAAAAAGGAAAAGGCAGAAGTAGTTATATGTACACTCATGACAGTAAACATGACCTCAAATACAGATCTGATCTCACACCACGGGAAAAAACATCTGTTTACACTGCAATGAATACCACCACCATCACTACCACCAATTTCTTAAGTGACCAACGTCGAGCTGGAAGATGCTTAGTCAAAACCCAATGCCTCTACCCTGTCTGGTAGGTTTTCACCTCCAGAAGCAGGGTGTTCTTTGCCTTAGTAGGAAATCCGTCTTTCCTTTGAAAACTCTATACATTTTACCCAGAGGCTTATCCATCCATTCCAAATATGTTTTTGTGCCAGCTCTGATAGATTGCTTCTGTTCAGACCAATATGGAGGACTTCAAAGAATTCTGTAGTTCTGATTTTTATAAAGTGGAGTTGAAATGTATCTCCTTTGACTTCTATTAATTGTAAGCCACACAGAACAAATTTAATCCTTCTCCCACTGCACAGCCCCTCGGGTATTTGAAGACAACTTTCATTTAACCTAAGTCTTTCCAACGTAAGATGATATATGAGAACACACTTTGTAATCTCCAAAGCACTGTACAAACACGAGTGATGATGGTGAGGATGATATCTTTGCTGATTATACCAAGCCTCTCAGACTTGTCAACCTTGTGATATGTTGCCTTTCTGTGGCCATATTCCACACTGTTAATGTTTCTTTCGAAAAGCCAAGCCCAGAAGTAACCTTGTGTTCAGGCTGTGCTCTGTGTTCCAAGCCTAGAGTTGATCTTTATCCCATACTGTTGTTACTCAGCCCATGGTTTTGCATGAAGAAGGAGGGCTGTCTTGTTAGCAACTTGGTAGTGAACTGAAATTTCCATTTCACAGAATGATTGGTGAATGGGGTCTCTTTCCCTCTACACTAATGCAGTTGACTTTTTGAACCTAAACTTTACATTTATCCGTGTTACACTGCATCTTGTTTCATATCCATTTGCTTTTGTTTTTGTCTTGCCCCAGTAATCACTTCATCCCATAAACACATACTGAGTGCTCATGATGTATCTGACTGTGGCAGGGGATTCAGAGATGAAAGATCAAGTCTGTGGACTCAGAGACCTCACTTAGCTGTCTGTGTGTTATCTGTCACTTCCTGCTTTCAAGACTCTGAAATTTGCTAAAAGCAGGTCTTCATCTGAGTTACTGATAAACATGTGGGGAAGAATGGGACTGAGGCAGAGCCCTGTAGTCTGAAGCTCAAATTCTTCAAACAGCCAACAAGCCGCCTTTCACCTCCCTGCTTGTGCTTTGCCCTGCTAGCTATGAATTCTCTTAATTGTCCTGTAGTCACATCTTTATATCTGCATTGTAAGGCTTGATACACTGTCAGGACAGACTTGAAAATTTTTCTCATGTGATGAAACAATTCTGGCATTCATGTTATGAGGTAAGCGCTTACAAATAGATTACATGTGAGACCGAACTTGGGCAGACGCTAATATAGCATTAATGATGAAACACACAATCATCTTCGGGAAGAATAATGGAAGCTTATTTGCTGCCTGTGAAATTGTAATTACTGTGACTGGGAATCCATCGTTCACTAAGTTTACTGAGCGTGACACCTAGGCTTAGCTGTTGGAAAGACAGAAAGGGCATGCAGTTTATAAAATCAACCAAGGGTAAAATGCTTGTCAAAATGTATTATTGTCCAGTATTTTGATGAATAGTTTATGTGGCTTCATTAATTCAAAGTTATTCTCTGCTATGTTTATCTGCCCTTTCTTGTCCTATGATGGTGAAGACTTGAGGTGTATTGTGTCTCTGACTTAGGGGTGAACTTGATTTCCTTGTTTCACTTTTAGTGCAACTATGTGGTCCCTGCCACGCTGGTCATTATCATCTTCATCTGCTTCCAGCAGAAGTCCTATGTGTCCTCTACCAACCTGCCTGTGCTAGCACTTCTACTTCTGCTGTATGGGTAAGGCCCCCCTGGAGGGCTGGAAGGCATGTGGTGCCCAGGGTCAAAGCGAAGGCAGGGGACACCCAGTGGACATTTGTCTCTGTGCCTCACCAGGTGGTCGATCACACCTCTCATGTACCCAGCCTCCTTCGTGTTCAAGATCCCCAGCACAGCTTACGTGGTCCTCACCAGTGTGAACCTCTTCATCGGGATCAACGGCAGCGTGGCCACTTTTGTGCTGGAGCTCTTTACCAACAATGTGAGTCCTGCAGAAGGGGCACCTCCTGCAGGGATGGCCGTCTCTGTGAGCCCGAGGACCGCACTGAGTCATGATCTTAATGCCACGGGTCTGTGCTGCGGACACCATGGACCTCTTTGTCCTTTTTCAGATTTCTCTCCTTTCTGGGTTTGCATAGCACCTCTTTCTCCTCCTTTTCCTTATATTTCCTTATATTCCTTATATTCTCTGACTGATCAAACCCTTTGGTTTCCTTTGGTTTCTTTTGTACTCCTTCCTGTCTCAGTCTGCTCTTCGCAATATTTGGTGCTCTGCCGTCTTTGCTTTCCCCTTTAGATGCTATCTCTGTGTGATGCCATTCACCTTTACCAACTTTCCTCTCTGGGTCTTATGTTGTTATCTCCCAGATCTTTGCCTTTGACCCTGTTCCCTCGATCTCTAGTCTCACATTTTCACTTGCCTAGCAGGAGGCTCCATCTAGGTTATTTCTGGTTCCCCGGGACTTGACCTGTCCTCCTCGTCTTCTCCCTCAGGACCTAGTATTTCTCTTGCCATTCCTGTCACAGTGGGTGGCATTACCATCCACTCGGTCACCCTGGCTGGCAACGGTATGGGCATCATATGTGTTTTGCTTTTCTTACCGCCCACATTTTACTCTTTACCTTGTCAGTTCTTCCAGTTACAAATCTCTTTAAGGGTCTCTGCCTGTTTTCATTGTCTTTGTCCAGACACCTTAACTTAGAATGCCAGCCTTCAGAGCTGTATAGTCCTTCCTGGTCATATCCCACCACACCCCTTTCCAAGGCTCTGTAACTTCACCTGAGCTGGTTGTTCCTTAAACCCCCTATACTCCTGTAGGTCTGACTTCCTTTATCTCTCTAAGCCCTCAAGACTGCGCCCAACTATGAAGCTTTCTTTTCCTGCCCTATGGGAGGTGCTTCTCTGTCCCCAGTGCTCCCAAAGCCCTCCCTTCACGCCTGCAGTACAGCACCTATCCAGTGATGTACTCATTTCCGCAGTGTAGAGACTGTTTATTAACCTTTGCCTCCCCTGGGCCCTAGCACAAGGCCTCCAGCCCACAGCAACTTAATTGTGGGATATTTGGCCACTGGCTTGGTGTATACAAGAAGAATTTTTAAAATGCCGACAAAATCCTGAAGCTGAAATATTGACCCAGATATGAGCAATTTGCTTTTGAAATGTTAAGCCAATATTTTATTATGGATTTGCTTCTGATTTAACATAACCGTGTTTCTAAACTTTGCTCATATTTCTCCATATTCATAGCATTATTCCAAATCTTCTAAAGGGGAAATTCTATTATGTTATATGTCATCAACTGTGGCTGCTGCTCTTTATTGCTGTCTGAATTCAAAGGTTCAGTTTGACCCCAGGGAATCAAATTTTTCATCTCTCCCATAATTCAGACCTTGATATATTTTTAGCCTAAACCATAAATGACATTCAGTTTCTCTCTGTCTTATTATATTTTTTTTTTAGAAGCTGAATAACATCAATGATATCCTGAAGTCTGTATTCTTGATTTTCCCACATTTTTGCCTGGGACGGGGGCTTATTGACATGGTGAAAAACCAGGCAATGGCCGATGCTTTGGAAAGGTTTGGTGAGTGACAGCAGTGACTCGAGATGGCGGTTTTTGTGAGCCTAGGTACTCTGGACTTTGGTGTGGGAAGAGGCTGGGGAATGGGCATAGGACTTCCCACCACTGAGAAAAGGTTCATGAAAATGAACCTGGTTGTGGCATGGGTCTTTTCATACAACATTCATCTGTGCCTCAGAGAGCAGTGAGAAAGGTGAGAGGGGAGTTTTAGAGGTAAGGAAAAAATACTGGTTTTATTCTGAATCCAGTGCGTAATGCCACTGGTTGCCTTTCTTAGTTACTGGAAAAGTCAGAGCACAGTCTGAGAGTTGGATACAGGCCAGAGGATCAGTAGGAAGGGTGCAAACTTTGGCTATGACTATGAGGAAGATCATGGGCCTGAAGATATGGCCATCTATTACCTTTTACACAGTCTATAAAAAGGTAATTTACTGCAGCTCTTTCTGTCTTTAGAGTCTTTAAAAATATTTCTCCTGTGGCCATATTACTATTCTTTATCCACTGGTTCATATAGCTAGATGGGCCATGTTATTTAATGGGCATAGGAGAGGGACTTTTTTTTTTTTTCCATCTAGCAGGTGCAAAGGAGATGTATAAGGAATGTAAGGAATATTCCCATAAAGCCAGGTGATTTCATAGGTTCACTAGGTTATATTATATGCTACTTTCTGAAAGGGACATCTTTTTAGAGTACTCTCTACTCTTCCTTTAGTGAAATTTACAATGTGCATAAATACCCTAGAAGTTACCCCAGATTGTTGCCTTTTTAAAAAGGATTTTCGGCATGTCTCATTTTAAAAAGAAATGTAAGATATGAAATTATAGATCTAATACATATTGGTTCTGAAGTTGTGACTGATAATGGGTCACAGTGTATTTTCCCAAAACCTTACCCTAAAAAAAATCAGACATGGAAAGTAGTCACTCCTATAATTTTCCCCCTTGTCATAGGCAATAATCATTGGTGTTCCGAGGAACAGAGGTGAATTTGAGCCTGAATTTGAGGAAGGGCCCAGGGTCTTTGGTGCCTCCATTCTAATTGGATCTCTGCATTGTGTCTACCAGGGGAGAACCGTTTTGTTTCGCCACTGTCTTGGGACTTAGTGGGACGAAACCTCTTTGCCATGGCCGTGGAAGGGGTGGTGTTCTTCCTCATCACTGTTCTCATCCAGTATAGATTCTTCATCAGGCCCAGGTAAGCTTTTTTTCAGAACTCATGGAGTATCTCGTTGAGGGTCACAGAGGAGCACAGGGAAACACTGATCAGTGGTGGTCGCATTGCATTGAACTCAAGATGATCCAGATGATTTTCCTGTAGGCTCTAGCCTACAGCACTGCTGATCCTAAAAACTATGGAGAATAGATTTAAAGGACTTTCTTAGAAATTGGATCCTTGTCTTGAAAAATACCTTGAAAGATTGATTTTTTTCTTAAAATGTTTTTCTCAAGACCTGTAAATGCCAAGCTTCCTCCTTTGAATGATGAGGATGAAGACGTGAAGCGAGAAAGACAGAGAATTCTTGATGGTGGAGGACAGAATGATATCTTGGAGATCAAGGAGCTGACGAAGGTGAGACAGTGAGTACAGGCTGTAACAACTCGTTTTCAGTTTTTCTCAGCTTTGCGTATTGGAGATGAGCACTTTTCTGATTTGATTAATGAAAAGAGCATACTTCCAAAAATATATGCATCTAGACCAGGTTTCTATCAAATTAATTTTGTTTAAAATACACCGAAGGGAGTTCTTCATTAAAGAAATCCTGAGAGTACTTCTCTAATGGGAAATCTGGTTCTCAAGTGTATTTGTTTTTCACACTTACATTTATGTGTTTATTAAAACATATTAAAATTGTGTATCTAGTCAAAGGTTAGGTGAGAAGAATAAATGATTGATTTTTGAGTATCATGGTCTAAAAAACTGATATGTCTGTTATTCAGGAGGAGGGTTTGTTTACAGCCCACTCTAGGTGCCAGGATCCCAGTAGTTCACTTTTTTTAATAATATGTACAATATTTGTAGTGTTTTGATTCTACATTTTGACCCTGTAGAATTTTTTTTTTTTTTTAAATGTAGGCTCCATGCCCAGTGCAGGGCTTGAACTCAACAACCCTGAGATCAAGACCTGAGCTGAGATCAAGGGTTGGATGCTTATCCAGCCATCCAGGTGTCCCTAGAATTTAATTTTTATAATACCTACAATATCAAATAAATGAAAAATTATGAAAATATTGATGACCAGTATGTCTCTTAAAAAGGTTGATATTAGATTAAAAATAAAAAGAAAAGGGTGTAAACCTGGCGATTCACAGACCTGTATCCCTGGGGCTAATAATACTTATATGTTTATAAAAAAATTTAAAAAAGAAAAGAAATTTATTTTTATTTTAAGCTCTCGAATCCTTTAGAAGCTGGCTGCCGCAGAGACAGACCATGGCTCTTAGCATATCAGATATGTGACTTAATTTTATTGATGAGCCTTACCTCATCGTGGGATTATAAGTCAGTCTTCCACAGTTGCTTGGGATAGTTGTGGTTCGCTATGGCTCTTGAATTTTTGCATTTTGTTGGTTGCAGATATATAGAAGAAAGAGGAAGCCTGCTGTTGACAGGATTTGTGTTGGCATTCCTCCTGGCGAGGTAAAAGCACTGTCTACACTCTACTTGTCCCTGTTAATTCAGATTATCTACCCAATCAAATGACAACGTCTATAAGGGTTTGAAAGTAGTTTTTAAAGCCTTCTCTATTTATGTCTATGTGGAGCAATCAGTCATTGAGAAGATGGGGACTGCATATGTCAAAAAGCAACAATTTTGGATAACCTCAGTCAATTTAAGAAAAGAATGCACATCCAAAATGTGTCTTTGTGATCCATTCAAGATGATGATGAAATTCAAATAGATTTTTTTTAAATACTTTTTTTCTTTTCTTGTTCATGTTTGTGTTCTTTTATGCCCTTTAGACAAATTAGATGGTGAAAGGTGACTGGTTAGCTTTCATTACTGTTTTTTACACATTAAGTTTGGCTTCACCCTGACAACTCCAATAATATTTACAAATATGCTCAATATGTCTCGTTATAAAATGTTTAAATATCAATGGAGGTTCTTAAAACTCCCCAAAATTCGACTCTTCATTGATATTTAAGAATGTTTTGGAATCATGTCAAAACTAAGCTGAGGAGACTATTATATAAGGGTCATTTATATTCAGATTTGCAGTTGTTTGCTTAAACAGCTTACCCAATCTTTTTCAGTGCTTTGGACTTCTGGGAGTTAATGGGGCTGGGAAATCATCGACTTTCAAGATGTTGACTGGAGATACCACTGTTACCAGAGGAGATGCTTTCCTTAACAAAAATAGGTGAGAAAAGACATGGACTGTATTTTGCCACAAAGAATCTTTTTCTTATTTTTTTTTTTTTAAAGGGAGGTTTCTTTTTTTTTTTCTTTTTTTTTTTTTAAAGATTTTATTTATTTATTTGACAGACAGAGATCACAGGTAGGCAGAGAGGCAGGCAGAGAGAGGAAGGGAAGCAGGCTCCCTGCTGAGCAGAGAGCCCGACGCCGCGGGGCTCGATCCTAGGACCCTGGGATCATGACCTGAGCCGAAGGCAGAGGCTTTAGCCCACTGAGCCACCCAGGCGCCCCTCTTTTTCTTATTTTTATTTAAAGACATTTTTATTTTTCTGATTATAACAGTACTATATAGCTTATAAAAAGGTTGAGATCTATAAAGGGTAAAGACAAAAATAAAAATCACCCATAATCCCACTACCTAGAGAAAACTACTATTTACATTTTTTTCTCCCAGGCTCCCTCTATTTTTTCTAACAGCTTTATTTAGTATAATTTTACATAGCATATAGTTCACTTATCTTAAGAATACAGTTGCTTGGGGCGCCTTGGAGGCTTAGTCATTAAACATCTGCCTTCGACCCTGGTGATGATCCCAGGGTCTTGGGATTGAGCCCCACATCGGTCTCCCTGCTTCTCCCTCTCCTGCTCCCCACCACTTGTGTTCCTCTCTTGCTGTGTCTCTCTCTGTCAAATAAATAAACAAAATCTTTAAAAGAAAGATATAATTTCTAGTGATTTCTAGTTGATTTACAAGGCTGTGCACTCATCACCACAATACAGTTTTAGAACATTCCCATCACCCCCAAACTCTCTCTTTTACACATATAAATGTTTTTTAAAATTGAGATCATACTGTATCTAGATTTTTGAAATTAGTTTATTATTAATGAGTCTAATATGGATATTTCTCAATGGGTTACATGTTCTAAGATGTAGGCTTTACATTGCTACATAAACCCCCCTATGTATATTTATCTGCAGTTTGCTTAATCAATTCCTTATTGCTGGACATTTATTAGTTTCTATTTTTGATTATGTAACTATGCCTTTACATATGTACACTTATGTACATATGTACATAAATGTACATATGTAAAGGGAAAGTTCCTACAAGGTAAAAGGGTGTATATTTGCCAAATTGCCTTCCTTAAAGGGTGTGTCAGTTATTGAGGTTTCAATAGGCCATTATCTGAGAATGCACAGGTCACTAAGCAATCTGATCTTTAGGGGTGCACCTCCACTTTAGGGACCTATTAGGCAGTGTTGCCCTTGTGTACTCTAAATATGTGGGGCTTTATGGGCTTTCTATATGAAGAGGTGGTACAAGACCATAGCTTTGGAACTTTTCTGACCATGACCCAAAGTAGCAAATACATTTACCTCTCAACCTAGTAAATACACAAAATCACATAAACAGGCATATCTTTAAAGAAAAAAATCTGATTATGACTCACTAAATTTATTTTGTCACCCGCTAATGGGTGATGGCTCACAATTTAGAAATAGTAGATAGGGGGCTACTAGCCAGTAACATTTGAAAAGAATGAGGGACTTAATGTACTCATGGGTCCCCCCTTTTGTCTCTTATCAGTTTTTTCCATAGCAGGGTAAAGAAGGTTTAAGAGAACCAATGCTGAAATAGCAGGCCTAAGACTGCATCTGCTTCCCCAGGCTCATTCCTTCTACCAGGCTCTTGGGGTATAAAGCAGTGGGAGCAGTAACTGGCTCAAACTAAGGTTTATCCCAGTGACCAGTTGTAAGAGGCTGGCTTGGGCAGTGTTGCTGTGTGGGCCAGGCACAGTGTCTGTGGGCATTTCAGTCATAATTCTGGAAAAGGCTGGACTTCGGAGTGTAAAACAGATAGGCACAGGGTAATGAATACTGCTAACAGGCCAAACAAAGGCCAAACACTGTCCAAGGGTGGCGGCTGATAAGTGCAGCCATCAGATTGGATGGGACTCTGAACTTCTCCCACATCAAGGATCCTTAACCTGAGATTGGCTTCATAGAGTGCAAAAGCTGCTTCCACCAATATATTTAAAGCTGTGTCTGTAGATATATTTTTTGGTCACCAGATTTTTAGAGAGCCTGTGATAAAAAACAAAAACAAAACAAAATAAAAATCCCCAAAACAAACCCCTTAAAAACGAGGAGGGTGCCTGGGCTGGGTAAATAGTGGGGCCAGGCCATCTGGACCATGTTGTGGCCAATGTATGGGCAACAAACAGCAGAGGGAGGAAGGTCACACCCAGATTTGCTGGGCCTCCTCTGGGTCTGTAGGGCCATGAGGGAGACTTGGGAGTAACAGAGTACTTGGTCCATATGACTGGATCACAGGGTCAAGTCTGGGATGGAGACTTAGTGTTAAAGCCCCAAGATTGTGTGAGTGAGGTTGTCGGTAGAGAGAGTGTAAGCAGTTGGGATGGACTTGGGAATCTTGAAATGGGCTGAGCCTGCAGACTGAGGTGTTGGGAGAGCCAGGTACAAGCAGTAGGTGGGCCAGAGGCGGGAACCCTGACTGCCAGGAGGGTTCTCTGGGGACAGAAAGATGGTTCCTTCAAGCTACAGCAAGTGTGCTCACTGGTTATTTTTATCATGTGCAAGTACACTTTTTAGGAACATGAGACAAGGCTGTCCAATCAGTCTCTCTCTAAATGCTTAAAACCTGACCAGTTTTTCCTTTGCAGTATCTTGTCAGACATCCATGAAGTCCATCAGAACATGGGCTATTGCCCTCAGTTCGATGCCATCACGGAGCTACTGACTGGAAGAGAGCACGTGGAGTTCTTTGCCCTCTTGAGAGGAGTCCCAGAGAAAGAAGTTGGCAAGGTACCGTGGGCACCAGAAGCCAGCCTGCCCCCTTCGCAGGCTGACAGTATGCCTTATGGTTTTGGCCTTCACAAATGACCGTTGGCTTCAGGCTCTTTTTACACATGGGTGCAGCAATATGAGATGCTGGCTCCTCGCACCTAATTTGCGAGGTGGGAATCCGTGGCGGAGGGCAGGGGTGAGTGGACAGACACATTCTGCAGAGCAGAGAGGAAGTGCTGTGCCCACCCCCACGAGTTCTTTCCCTTTGCTTTTTGGCTCCTTGGCACTTGCTATTATAGAATCTACTCAGTGAGAAGAATTTTCCTAGTTCTGCTCTGTAAAGAATCATCTGCAAGTGTAAGAAAACATGATAAACAAACCAGACAAAAGTCAAGGTGTGTTTTATTACTCCAGGTTGGTGAATGGGCAATTCGGAAACTGGGCCTCGTCAAGTATGGCGAAAAGTATGCTGGTAACTATAGCGGAGGCAACAAGCGCAAGCTCTCCACAGCTATGGCTCTGATCGGCGGGCCCCCTGTAGTGTTTCTGGTGAGTGTGACTGAGTGGAGAACTCTTGTGTGGGCCTGAATGGAAAACATCACTTTTCTGAAGTCCTGTATGTCCAGGGATATTGCCGGACTGGCTTGGCTAATGGCAAGCCATCCTTCCTCTGACCGGGAACAGCAGAGCCACCTTAGAAAACCAGAGGGAAGTTCTTTTGTTCTTCTCCTTGATACATGTTGGGGTGGCTTTGCCATGCCCTCTGATGCTCCAGAGAAGAGAAGCTCTAGGGCCCTTGTTTGTCTGGTGTTGGGGAACCCTGGCTCGTGTGGCTGTCTTGGATATGTGATTTGAACTTTCTCTGGATCATTCTTTCAGACCATCTGTGTGTTCATCTCCTGAAGATGGAGATTGTGGACACAGCTTCAAGATCCCCAGGGTGGCAGCCGGGTTATAGTCCTAACAGATAGATAGATGGAAAACAGAAGATTAAACTGGACAGGAGCCCTTTGGCCCTTTTTCTTCTGCTTTGAAGTTATTACAGGAAGAAGCCTTAGGTTAAGGCTTTAATGTAATCTGTACCGTTTGGATCTGCAATTTGTTTCTCTAAGACTAGCAAGTGTAATATAACAGGCTAAGCTATAATGAGCTAGAATAAAAAAAGAAAAGTAATTTTACCCAAACCTTCTATGGACTTCAATAGAGATTTCAGACAAAAAGAATTTTTAGTGTATATTTGTCAGTCACGAAAAGATGATTGAAACTAAATAGCTTTTTCCTTCCCTTTCTATTCATTTGGAGAAATTTAATTTAAAAAAATTTTGAGTTTCCTACTTCCTACATATTAGTAAGAGTGAACTGGTTACAAACAAATACACAGTTTATTCTTGTATGCGAGGTCTGATTTTTTTGGTCTATCAAGAAATAACTAGAATGGTAAGCTGGAATGTAGGCTATTTTAAAGATGCTTCTGCATTTAAAAAGAAATCTTTGTGTTTTCAGCAAGTAATAGGGCTTATTTTATTCTAATTACAGGATGAACCTACCACAGGCATGGACCCCAAAGCCCGGCGATTCTTGTGGAATTGTGCTCTAAGTATTGTCAAGGAAGGCAGATCAGTAGTGCTTACATCTCACAGGTCAGTAGTGAAGACTGGGCTTGGTATCTGTGTTGTGTATATTTATGTTTTTCCAAGTAGTAATGTGATCATTGTATAAAAATTACAAAATGTGGAAAGGCAAAGAGAAAATGTGGTAATCACCTGAAATTGCATCACGAGGACATAAACATTGCTGTCATCGGGCTATGTATCTTTGCAGTTTTCTCATGCGAATCTGTATACACACACACACACACCAGACATGTGTGTATATTTACAGGCAAAAACGCAAGCTTTGTACTTAGTCTGTTCTTTTTCACTTCGTATTTTGTGTACATTCAGATGTAGACAGTATTCCAATAGGAAATACCCTAGTTTATTTAACTGTTCCTCTTTTTGTAGACATTTGGACTGTTTCCAACTTTTTTTTTACAAGTATAAACAGCACGGCAGTAAACAGCATCGTCCCTACATCTTCATGTATTTGTAATAGGAGTCAATTATGCCCTAGGATGCTGGAAATCTCTCTCTTTGAAATTCCAGATGTCACATGATGTTCGGATGGTTAGAGCAGCATCTAAAATAAAAATCTCTGTTTTCCCACAGTATGGAAGAATGTGAAGCTCTTTGCACTAGGATGGCAATTATGGTCAATGGGAGGTTCAGGTGTCTTGGCAGCGTTCAACATCTGAAAAATAGGTAACAAAGATAGTATCTTTGGGATAACCCCTACTGAGGACACTTGTGTTTATTCTTTTTGTGAGCATATAAATGGTGGCTCTAAAAATAAAGGGAAATAAACTGAACAAAATGGTATAGTGGAAAGAATAAGGGCTTTGAAGTCAGAGCTGCTTTTGAATTCTCTTTACCTTCTCCTGGTGTGGGCCCTTGGACAGATTGCTTAACTTTTCTGAGAGTCTGTGTCAGAGGAATATCTGCTTTCTGGCTTTGCTAAACAAATGAAATGGGGAATTTTACATACGTCAGTGTGGTCACAGCATAATCTTTGGGGTCAAACACAAATGAGTCTATACCCTGGCCCTACCACTTAGGAGATCTGTACCATGGGCAAGCGACTAGCTCCGTGGGCTTCAGTTTCTCTGTAACATCTGTCGGACTTCACATGTCCAGGTGAGGAATCAGTGAAATCATGTGTCTGAGGCACTCGGCATGACACGTCACATAGACTAGATAATCAGTAAATGGTAACCAGTTCCTTCTCTTAGTTATTTCTGGGTAAAACTTTTGGGAGCTTCCTTTTTCATAGCACCAGTTGGGTAGGGTTACATACCATTTTGAGAAGTTTCCTGAGGATCTTCCATCGTTTTTTCTTTTTTTTTTTCTGCTTTCAGGTTTGGCGATGGTTATACAATAGTGGTACGAATAGCAGGGTCCAACCCTGACCTAAAACCTGTCCAGGAGTTCTTTGGACTTGCCTTTCCGGGAAGCGTCCTCAAAGAGAAACACCGGAACATGCTACAGTACCAGCTTCCATCTTCACTTTCTTCTCTGGCCAGGATATTCAGCATCCTCTCCCAGAGCAAAAAGAGACTCCATATAGAAGACTACTCTGTTTCTCAGACAACACTTGACCAAGTAAGCTTTGAATGTCTAAAACAGATGGCCTTTTCAGGGTGGAGATTCCCGATCCCTGTCCCCCACTCCCATTATGGGTCCTAGAGCAGATCTGACTGAGCTTGAATCGGATTTACCATGACTCTTGCTTTTTACTAAACCACCCTGAAGGTGTAAGGAAGATGATTCTATTTACTTTTGAGGGTTATTGTGAGAATAAGCTGTAATAATAATCACAGTAACTTATCATTTTCTGAGTACCTACCATGGGCCAGACATTTTGCCAGGTGTCTTATCCCATTTAAATTAGATAACATCAAGTACTAATCAGATTCTGGAACTTAGTAGATATTCGGTAAATGTTAGTTTTTGTCTCTCTTCCCTTTTAATCAGGCCTCTCTGAATCAAAATAGATGATCGAGTAATTGGTGATTTGAGGGGCAATAGAGAAGCTCAGTTTTCAAATGGTTAATGTGTTTTTCCAGTGTCCCCTCTTCCTCACACACAGTTTCCTACTTAATCTACTTATGCGATCTTGTATTCTCCTATGTGACTTAAGCTCCACACGGTGAAAAATGCAACCAGAATAAAGGAGGAGCAAGGAGAGAGCTATTTATAAAGGCCAACCTTCTTTTGACAGGTGTTTGTGAACTTCGCCAAGGACCAAAGTGATGATGACCACTTAAAGGACTTGTCATTACACAAAAACCAGACAGTAGTCGATGTTGCGGTTCTCACATCTTTTCTCCAGGATGAGAAAGTGAAAGAAAGTTATGTATGAAGAATACTGTTCATACAGGGAGACTAAAAGAAAGGAGGAACTAGCCCTTCCTTTGCACCACGTCAAGCGTTCCAAAAGCAAGAGCTGGACGTTTTTGTGGGAAGAAGTAAACTGGATACTGTACTGATACTATTCAATGCAATGCAATTCAATGCAACGAAAACAAAAATTCCATTACAGGGGCGGTGCCTTTGTAGCCTATGTTTCGTATGGCTCTCAAGTGAAAAAGACTTGAATTTAGTTTATTACCTTATACCTATGTGAAACTCTAGTATGGAACCCAGCGGACAGATGGGTTTGAAACCACACTTTTTTTTTTTTTTCCTTTGTAGTCTCACTGGGGTTGCAACAATAATTAATCAAGTAATCATGGCCAGTGATTATTTATCAAAGTCAAAAGGCATATACATCTTCATTCAGTAAGCCGTGCCATGCCAGGACACTGGTTTCCCGGCAACACATCCATTGCTGGCGATGAGTGTGCCAGAATTACTAGTGCCAAGTTGCTCAGAAAGCCTGAAGGACCGTGGTGTGTCATTTACACTTTTGCAAAAGCTGTTCTGCTTTAGAGTCCATCAGCATCATTATCAGGTGACAAAATGGTGCCCTGGATGGGGAAAGTCCTGCTTTGTTTCCCTCTTTGATGAGCTGCTCTGGTGTGGCCGTAATGTGCAAGTGTGGGTGGCTCAAGACAGCAGAGACTTGGTTCCATTTTTAGGTTGTCCCGTGCTTGGAGCCATGGGTCTCCAGGGCCCCTTTTCTGGGACTCGTTAAATATACTAAGATCCTGGTGAGCAGTAAAGAGCTGGCAAACCGTTGAGGCTACAGGCTGCTGAGGCCAAGTCATGGGATTGAAGACGTGGCTTGTTCAAACCTAGGGAGGCCTGTGTCCATTTGTCCTGGTTGTCTGCTAACACGGTACATTGCATCTCAAGATCTTCCTGTCTGACATGAGTGTAGTATTATTTCTGGCTTTTTAAATTAATCTAGACTATGAAAGGACAGAGTTGTATTTTAACAAAATTCTTTGTATTTTTGATGTTGTTTGGAATCTTATGGTCTGTCAGTGACATGTGAATCCTTGGAATGGCCTCTCTGTAGAACCCCGTGGTGCAGAGGAGTAAGGCCGTACTGCCTCACTGGCTTTATTTCTCATGGAAGCCTGCATGTGGGTCCTCTGACTAGTGCCTGGTGACCAGAAAACAATGTGGTGGTCAAGATCACATGACAACATTATATTTGAGTTTAAGATCATTTAAAATACTCTTAATCTCGGTTTGTTAATCAAGTATTTTTTGAGTGTATGTTTTAGCTGAACTGACTATGTATGGGTGGATTGGGTGGGGAGAAATTAAGTCTCAGTAGATGTCCTGTGCCATGTTATTCAGCTAACAGGTTTACAAATAGAGGTTGTTTTGTTGTTGTGGTTGTGGGATCCCAGTGAAAGAATACTGGGCAGTTTTTTTGTTTTTAATAGCGACAGTACAAAAGCCAAAAAAGTTTGTCATAAGGGTTACAAGACTAAACAATGAATACTTTCACAAAAAAGATCACGAACTGCAAAACTTGTTGAATAACACAACTTGTGCTTATGGGTATTTTTGGTACTGTCAAATAATTGGCTTTGAAGATCTTAGGTACCCCATGCTGACAATCTCAAATTTTTCATCTCTTCAGTCCTAAGTTTCTCATGAAAAAAATAACAGCAAATGCCCTCACGTGAAATATATTTGACTTTTCTGACCCAGTCTTATTTTTTTTAGTCAACAAACACTTTAAGAAGTATTATTTTACTAATGCTTAATGTGATCTGCTTTGAGACAACAAAAATATTTGGGGAGTACTACTGGGTGAAATTCAAGCCATCTTTCAATATCATTATTAATTTCTTTTTCTAAAATTTAAATATTAACTCTAAAGGTATTAAGATTTCAGATCTATTTCAAATCTGTATTTTTTAAAATTTATAGAATGTTACCACAGAACTTGTTTGGAAAAAAATGACTTAGAAATTAATGCCAATATCTTCTAAAATGATAAACAAGTAATGAAGGCACATTTCCAGTAACTATTGGCATGATGAGGTCATTATATTTTGTCCTATCTTTAATGATATAAAATTCATAGAGTAATTTAGTTTTTCCTTATTTAATATTTTTCAAAATCAAACTTTTGTTAGTTTTCCCATTTTACTAGAATCATGTTTTAATTCTCTATCTTATTAAATCAGTGAGCAGCTCCTGGCTTTAATTACTCTAACTTCAAGGTCATAGTTTAAAAAATCAAAAGACACTGTGAACTGTTTCGGAAAACAAAATACAAAAAACAATTCAATATAGATTTACAAGGATGTCTTCTGAAGCTAGAAGCAATCTGTAGCTACACACTGACTTCATACTGTTACCATTTAGACTATCCAAATAATCGTCTTTTACATTTTCCTGTGTAAACCTAATTCTAGTACAAATTTCTACCAACTCTCTACTCAAGTAAAATTTCTATATATTCCCTGTGGAAATATAAGTATGTGAGTTTCCAAAATTCTCAAAAAAGAAAGTGTTCAGAGGCTGCCAGCTTTGCTTCTTTTGGACACCTTGGAAACTCCATTAACAACTGTGAATATGAAAATACAAAAGAAAACAATCACAAAGCCCTTTATACATAAACATCCAGTACAGCTCATTCTTAAAAAACAGCCAAACCTCAGACTACTGTATTTCCATATCTGTACTGAAAGCGTGTGCATTGTGGCGATGAAATGCTGCACATCTTTCAGTCACTGTATAGTAATCATTGACGAAAGGGATTTGTCTGTTTTCTTCTCGTGGTTGTATATATCAGGTAAATTTTTTTCCAAAGAGCCATGTGTCATATATAATATTGAACCACTTTGATACTGAGATATTAATTTGTACCCTTGTTACTATTTACTAGTAATAATAAAGTACTATAGTAATATAGCTCTAATTCTCTTCAAAGTTGTTGCATCCCTTTTATAGAATGTTTCTATTTCCATAAGGGTTAAGTATTCTTTCTTCTTATACCCTAGAATGCAGCTATGTTTTTGTGCTTTTTCTTTATCATTGGCTCTTCATTCCAAGCACTTTATGCTGTCTCTAATGGGATCTATTTTTGCACTGGAATATCTGAGAATTGCAAAACTAGACAAAAGTTTCACAATAGATTTCTAAGTTAAATCATTTTCATTAAAAGGAAAAAAAGAAAAAAAATTTTGTATGTCAATAACTTTATATGAAGTATTAAAAAAGGCATATTTCTATGTTGTAATGAGTCACGAAATAAAGCTGTGACAGTTCTGCTGGTCTGTGCAAATTTATTTCTATGCATTCGCAGCACCACCTACTGTTAAAGCTCATAACGCCGTTAGAAAAGTAAGAAATTTCCGTCCACTTCTAGTGGGGAAGCTCTTTGACTCGAGTAGAAATTTTAGAAAAGGCTAAATGTCCTGTTTCTCACAAAAGAGAACTGAAGGGATTACTTGGAGACAAAGGGTGTTTACACTTTCATAATCAGTTAAGATAGTAAATAACAAGTTTAAGAGGTTGTTAGGTAAAATGTATTCCGCTTGATTTTGAAGCTATAGAGATCTCTGAAAATACTCTGTAGCTAAGCCTGTTTGATAAAAACGTCACTGCTTTATTTGGTATTTAAACTACAAAGGCCGCCTTCAGATGTCTTTTGTTTGTTCAACTGAAAACACGGACAGAGTGTGGCAAGGGTATTGGCAGGGTGTGCTGGGCGTGGTGGCCTGGGTGAGCAGGTAAAGTGGAAGAAGTAGAGGAACAGCGGAGGTGCCTTCCCTTCCTCCTGTAAAAAGTGCTGGGCAACCAAAAGCCGGGGCCATGTGGGGCTGTGATGAGACTTGTGGATGTAATTTTTATAGCTCACTTGCAGAGTCTCAGGAAAGCTGTCTATCTCGGTACCTAAAGAACCTCCATCAAACACCCCCTCATAGGCAGCACAGCAGAGTCACGGCTCTATGTGGGGCCTCCTCTAATGACCGAGAGGACAGGTACTGAGTGAGTGGTCCTTTGCTAAGGTGTGCATGCCACTGCATTCGGAGAAAGGATCTCGGTTTGTGAGTGAGCCTTCTTGACCACTTGGAATCAGTGTCACAGCTGTGTCTTTCTCTCTTAAAGTTCACATTACAGTGACTTCAGTGAAATGAAAGAAAACTGTGTTTCTTGGTGAAAAATGACGATCGAGAGAAGAAAGCTCCTGAAAGATGAAAAGGCAAGTAATTTAGATAACCGTGTAAGTCATCCATGAGTCTGGAGGAAAACCTTCTGTCTAGAGAAGAGCCTATATAAACATTGGTAGGTTCAAAAAACCTTTGAACCTTTGAAATGTTAATGTATGCATTAAGTACGAAAAACTAGAAGGGAAAAAAGCTACATTTTTTTAAAGTGTTTTACTGTGTTGTCAGGCACTTCATTTAATCCCCAATTAACTACCTGCTTTATGAGGTAAGCAGTACCATTTGATGTATGAGTAAATTGTGGCTCAGTGGATAAAGAAAGAACTTGTTTAAAGTTCAGCGGCTACTAGAGTGGCAGAGGGTTCTTTCTGGTGAAGTTGAGTATCAGATACAATTGCCCTCATAAAATCTGCCTGGCATCATCATACAGTAATTTCACCAATATTTATTGAACTCTGTTGTGCGCCATATTTTCTAGGCTCTGAGGTGCAGTGTTCAAGACTGAATTCCTGCTCTACTGAAGTTAAATTTCAGTGGAGAAGTCTTACTTGCATTCACAATGGATGTGTAGACAAATGCATATAATACACTCAGACCACAGTAAATGCGAAGAAAATGAGCTATGGTAATAAGTTAGTGATGGAGAGGAGTCAGAAATGGTGCCTGAAGAGTGACGTTTGAGCTCAGATCTGATCAAATAAGCAGGAGCCAACATTTGAAGGGGGGCAGAGAGAATGTTCCTGGAAGAAAGAATACCTGGTGCAAAAGCTCCAAGTGGGAAAAAGCTTGAAAGGTTGGGGAAGGAGGGAGAGGATCCCAATGTCTCAAGTGGTGGAAGAGGCAGAAACCAGAACCTATAGGGCTTCGCAGGCCATGTTAAGGTATCTGGATTTTACTGTTAGTGGCAATGAGGAACCACTGGAGAGTTTTAAACAAGGTAATGGTTTGATGTAATCACTGTTTCAGAAAGAATGCCGGCTGTGTGGGGAGAAGAGACAGTAAGGAGGCTAACAGATGTTGGTGGATTGAGCAAGGGTATAGCAGTAGACACAGGGAGGAAGAGTAATGTTCAGGATCTATTTTAGAGACAAAGCCCACAGGAATTGCCGACAAGCACCATGTAGAGGTTGAGGGCAAGAGAGCTATCAAGGTGACTTCTAGTTTGTGGCCCAAACTAGGTAGATGGTTGTGCTAAAAGGGCCATTCATACATCAGTCTGGTGCTCAGGAACAATGATGGGAAGGAAGATAAAAATGTGTAAGTCATCCCCACATATATGGTATTTAAGCCTTTCGACTAAATAGGCTGACCTAGAGAGAACGAAGATAAGAGAACATTCCTGAGATCCTACCCACATCTGAAGAGACGCCAGCAAAGGAAAGAGAGGGTCTGGCCGGTGAGGAGGATTATGGGAGTATGACGCCATATACTGATGCTCAGAATCAAGTGTTTCAGGAAGGCAAACGTGGTCAGTTGTGTCCAACACTGCTGAGAAGATAAGCAAGGTAAAGGCAGAGAAAATGACTGACTTTGGTAAGACAGAGGTCCTTGGTGCCCTTGAGAAGAGTCCTTTCAGGAGACTGACAAGGATCAGGTTGAGGGAAGAGTAAGAGGTAAAGACGGGGAATATACGTCAATCTACTGAGAGCTCTGCTTTACTGAGAAGCAGGAAACATGCCACTAGCTGGATCACAAAGCTTTTATCTGGATTCTTGTCTGTCAATAGTGCAGGTTGCTCCTGAACACCATCTCACTTTTCAATTTTTTTTGTTATCTTTAACCCTTTAAACATTTCTTCTCTCCACAGTCTGCTGTACTTTATTTTCCAAGTTTCCCTTAAGACAGCTAATTCATGATTTACGATTTTATACTTTTAGAAACACAAAATAAGATAGCTCTAAATATAGACTCTCGAGAGAGAGCTTGTAATTACTAAACCTAGTTTTAGAAGGCAGGTGCACTCAACTAAAATGGATATTAAGGTGTTTCAAGAAAAACCCTAGGATCTGTGGTGGTCCTGAAAACTTTCTGGGATTATTATTATGTTATCTTCTTGATGTAACTTAACATCTACAGTAAAGTTGTGAAACAACTATGACACTACCCTATAGCAACACAGTATAAGTTCTAGAGGAGACAGTATAAATATGAAACACAAAAAAATCTGCAGAATGGGTATGTAGGCTTTTATTCAGGCAACCATTCTCATAACCATAGATATTTTTAAAACAAATAGGTGTCCCAAGTATCTTTGTTAGTAATCCAAAATGAACAAAAAATTAACTGTTAAATGAACACATTTCAGTATATAAAACAAGTCTTCCAAAGTCTTTAACAGAGACCTAATTACAGTATTTTCCAAGTTAGAGTGACTCATAATTAATGTGAAAACCATAATTAATACAGATGACACAGGTGATACTGTACTTTGCCAAGGTAAAGAAATATATTTGATCTTAGATTCTTTTTTTTTTTTAAAGACATCTATTTATTTATTTGACAGAGAGAGAGAAAGAGAGATCACAAGTAGGCAGAGAGGCAGGCAGAGAGAGAGAGGAGGAAGCAGGCTCCCCGCTGAGCAGAGAGCCCAATGCGGGGCTCGTTGATCTTAGATTCTAAAGACTCCCATTTGATCACAAAATAAACCTACTGAGCAAAAAAAAAAAAAAAAAAAAAAAAAAAATCTCAGAAAAAATTGACATGAATAGACATTATATATAAATTTTAAAATATCAGGTACAAAATGTAACATCATTTGAATATAAAATATAAAAGCAAAGGGTTGTCAAAACAGAATATAAGAGATATTCTGAAACCAGTGAAAAATCAAGATCATCAAGTAGTAGCAACTATTTCTAATGTGTAGCAGACACTGAAATGCCAAGGGGAAAATGAACAGAACTATTTCCTGGGGTGGAGAGGAACAGGAAGGAAGCACAGAGCTGGCTTTAGAAGTGCAGAGACACAAAAGATTAACTTACCACCTTCTTCAAATACAACTGAGAATCTCTTAGGAGAATTTAAGCACCATAGCAGACACATCTTACAGCAGTTAATGCGACGCTTCGTATTTCAATGGAAAACTATTTCAAAGGTGAAAATGATGTAGGAATCAGAAGCATATTCTGCTGAGACACGAGGTAATTGACACTCTCCCGAACTGGAAAAACACATTTCATAAGAAGGCATATAAAGTTATTGACCGAATCAAATTTGTTGTACGAATACTTCATGCCTCGTGAAATAGCTTACCAGCTGCCACAACCCTGGGATCCTCATGAGACTGATGTCGCCCAGCTGCACGACTGTCTGCACTCTCGTTCCACCAAAGAACGTGAACTGCAGAAATAAACCAAAAAGGGCTTCTAAAGACTATGGCGTTACCACAAGAAATACAGAAAAACTAATCAGAAACATTAAGTCTTGTTCTTTAAATCAAAATAGTGAAAATCAAAAAGGTAAAATTAAGTATGTTAGTAATAAGATTTCAGAGGGGGTCAGAGATTTGTGAGACAAATTTATAAATTAATAAAACTAGTTTTATAGATGAAGAAAAGCTGGAAAAAAAAAGTAAGTAACACCACGAAAGACACAATCAAGGCTAGACCCAAGTTTTATGACTTCCTACCATGTTTTACTTTATTTAAAAAAAATTATAAAAAATGTTTATTACTGAAAATTTGGAAAATACAAAGAAGAAAATTAAAAGTAACCTGATTTTAACAACCCAGAGAAAACCTCCACTGATACTTAGTGTATTTCTTTTAAAAACATGAGTAAAATCAGATTAGGGTCGTACTGTATATTATGCTTAGTATTTTAAAAAATCAACACTGCTTATTGTTTTCCATGGCAGTAACTTTAATTTTTAATGACTATGTGAATTCCTTTTTATGTCACTATGTGACAACTTTTTAAATCCCAACCCTTTATTGTTGATTATTTATATTATTCAAAATATTTCAGGATCCTATAAAATACTGGATTTTTTAAAATAATTAAACATAATATACGTTAGTCGTGTAGATTTTGGAAAATGCAGATAAACAGAAAGCAGGAATCATTTCTATTCTACCATCCTAAAATAACCACTTTCCTATTTTGGTGCATCTCTTTCTATATTTATGTACATATGTATTTTTAATATGTTTACATGTTTATATACATAAAGTGTGTACACTATATAAGGTATAGGACCTATATGATGTGTGTTTGTGTGTTACAAGTATATTACATACATATAAACATGGGGTCATACCACATTGTTTCCAACATTTCCTTATTGTAAACAATGCTGACATAAACTTCCTTAGAGCAGGAGTTGTATGTGTAGCTGTAATAATAATAATGTCAAAGACAACTACTACTGACATTTTTGGGGTGCTTACTTTGTGCCAGGGTTGGTTCTAAGAGTTTTGCATGTATTAACTCATTTAATTTTCACAATAATCTTAGGGTATTATTATCCATATTTTACCGATTAGCAATTTAAGGCACATAAGGTGAAGAAACTCATGTGATGTCACAAAGAGGGCAGGTTAAGTGGTGGAGCTGGGATTTAAAGCCAGGCAGTTTGGTTCTGATTATTTCCTCAATATGAACTCTAAAATTTGAACTGAGAGAACCAAAGAATATTTTGTATATATTTCTACATGTACAGCAAACATATATACTGTCCTCCACAAATTATGTCCTGATTTATACTCAGCCTATTATTATCTCTTATGCTGAGAGGTAATTTAAGATTAAAAAGTGTGCACACCTTTTCAGTAGTTTTTTCTTATAAAAGTTATAGATGTCCATTATAAAAAATAGACTTAATAAACATTAACCTTATCATGAATATCATTTACATCCTTTCAAATTTCTTTCCTATATAACCTAACACACTACACACCTATGCATATTTCCTAGAATATTGGCAAAAATAATTTAAAAATTAAAGCTTTTTACTTATATTGCCAAATCTTGGGGAGGTTAAAGATTAACACAGTATGACTCTATACAGTATCTAAGTACTTATTTTTCCAACCTATCAAATACTATATATAAATATGTCTTTATTAGGTAAAAATGATATCTCATTATTATCTTAATCTGTATCTTCTATAATATATACATTTAGTAGTCATGTGCATATCTAACTTTGCATAAGTCTTCATTTTCTTTTTGCTTTTGAATTTCATTTATGGTGTTTTGGGGCATGCAGAAAGAGTGTGCTTTTTAAAATAGAGTCAGGGGCACCTGGGTGGCTCAGTGGGTTGGAGCCTCTGCCTTCGGCTTGGATCATGATCCCGGGGTCCTGGAATCGAGCCCCGCGTTGGGCTCTCTGCTCTGCAGGGAGCCTGCTTCCTCCTCTCTCTCTCTCTGCCTGTCTGTCTGCCTACTTGTGATCTCTGTCTATCAAATAAATAAATAAAATCTTTAAAAAATTTTTTTAAAAATAAAATCATCAATTGATTTTTTTCCTTTATTGTTCCTTTGTTTGTTTTTTGGCTTAGAAATACAGTTCTCATCCATATTATTAAACACATTTTAGGGGCCCCTGGATGGCTCGGTGGGTTAAAGCCTCTGCCTTCAGCTCGGGTCATGGTCCCGGGGTCCTGGGATTGAGCCCCGCATCAAGCCTCTCTGCTCAGCGGGAAGCCTGCTTCCCTTCCTCTTTCTCTCTGCCTGCCTCTCTGCCTACTTGTGATCTCTGTCTGTCAAATAAATAAATAAAATCTTTAAAAAAACCCCCACACATTTTATATGTTATTTTATATATTTATATTTTATTTTAGTAATTCTATAACTATGTTTTGTCTACACTTAAATCTATATAATCCATTTGGATTCCAGTTTTGTATATGGTGTGAGATAGACATCTAATGATTTTCACAGTTTTTCTCCTCTTGATATAGTTTCCAAGTTAAAAATAACCTTTTCTGTATATTCTGATTATTTTCTTAGGATATACTACTAGAAGTTACATTTCTGGGTTAAGATCAGAAGCTCAGCTTTGAGTGTGTTAGGTCTGAGATGTCCACTAGACATTAAATAGGAAGTTAAGGAGGCAAATCAATACGATGAGTCTTTCAAATATTTTATTAGCTATTCTTAGTCATTTATCCTTCCAGATGAACTTTACATACATTTTTAAGGGTTTGCCATAAAAAACTCTCTGAAATTCTGACTGCAGTAACTTTCTACTTTAAAAGTTAAATGCCCCAGATATATGTCTTAAAAATAAATACATGGGGCACCTGCCTAGCTCAGTCAGTGGAGCAAGTGACTCTTGAACTCACGGTTGTGAGTTTGAGCCCCACTTTGGGAGCAGAGATTACATAAATAAATAAACTTTAAAAGTAAATAAATAAATTCAGGTATGTATATTTACCCGTAAGCTGTGTATAGCCACACTGAAGTGTTAAGAGGTCATTACAAATCATGGACATGCATTATTTCTAGCATGTGAATATATCAACTAACATTTTGGTTTTCTTACTCCTATGTCATATATATACATATATATATGTATACACACATATTTATATGTATTTATAAAAATACATACACACATATATGTAGATGACATATAAAGACCACAATGTTAACAGTATTATCTCTAAGGAGGGGGAAATATTTTCTCCCCTTAAGGCATGTCCATCTATTTAGTATGTGCAAAAATATGTACTACTTTTTCATTCAAGATGATCTCTTTACCCCAAGTAATACTATTTTAAAAAGTCAATAAAAGTATACTTAGAGGAAAAAAAGGATGAAAGAACAGATTTTTTTTTGAGGCTCTTTGCAGTTTTTTTAATCACTTTGATGAGTCATGGAAGGCATGATATTTCATTTGAAAAAGGCTTTATGAGGTGTTAACATCCCAAACAAATAAGATATAAATCAGGTTTTTTTTCAACCCTTCAAATTATTAAAAACCCTAAAAATTTGGCAATAAAAATGTAAACATATGCCATAATGGAAAAAAGAAACAAACTGACCCAAGAAACTTAATAGATCACCAACATACTTTGTAGTTTCATAGAAGAAATAGACAACTATACCTCTGTTGAGTTCTCCATATTCTGTGTGGAAAACGCCAATTAGTTTTGAGTAGCCTAGATCCACATGGGCATTAATTGCCCTTTTAAATGCATCGCCCCATAAAGCTGGCCCACCGGGCTTCATCTGAAAACTAACCAGTTCGTAGACTCCTAGAGTAGGGAGAAAAATAATTTTACAAAAGATATTCAAGAAATTTCTAATCAGGTTAGTCCAATTCCACTGGAAGGCTAATCTACATACACCGATTTGGAAGATCATACACATGTACATGGTATGTAGATATATTTACGGATTATGGCATTAGTTTTCCTTGCTTTTATGTTTTGAAAGTCCTTGTCCAAGTTTAAGGATCAGTTGTTAAGCTTATACAGAATAACAAAAAAGGGAAGATCTATTAAGTTATTATCTGAGATTTTTTTTTTTAAGATCTTATTTATTCATGAGAGAGAGAGACAGAGGGAGAGCACCAGCAGGTGGAGAGGCAGAGGGAAGAGGAGAAGCAGACTCCCCAGTAAGCAGGGAGCCTGCTGTGGGTCTTGATCCCCAGACCTGGAGATCATGACCTTAGCCGAAGGCAGATGCTTAACCATCTGAGCCACCCAGGTACCCCGGAAATATTTTTGTTAAAAGATTTTATTTATTTATTTGACAGACAGAGATTATAAGTAGGCAGAGAGATAGGCAGAAAGAGAGGAAGGGAAGCAGACTGCCTGCCAAGCAGAGAGCCCGACTCAGTGCTCGATCCCAGAACCCTGGGCTCATGACCTGAGCCAAAGGCAGAGGCTTTAACCCACTGAGCCACCCAGGTGCCCCTGAAATATTTTTAATCTATAAACTCTGTTAATAAAACAAATACTGAACATTTATAGAAGGGCTAGGATTTCTGAGCTCCCTGAATCTGCACTTTTGGATAAGAAATGAATAAGAAAAGCATTTTCTAATCTCCTGTATTTCCTCTTCTTTCCAATTTTGAGGGGAAATACTTTTTGTTTATATAATTTCCCCCTACAAGATTACATTTCTAATAGGAACAAACGATGGATCCAGTGATGTCTGAGTTTATGAGCGGGGGTAATAAAAACTGAAACAACTGGAGGAAATGATTTTATTGTTCCTAAATATCCAGGTAAATACTTGAAAAGCATTTTGCCTTCTGATCACAAGTATGGGGAAGGTAGAGAAGAGGAACTAGGGGACAAGTAGCTTTGAGAAGAAAAAGGAAAAAAGCACAAAGTTATTAAAGGGTTATGAACAACACAGAAGAAGAGAACCAGGATTTGACATTGTCTAAGAAGCCACTTAGTTTTTAGATAGTGCTGGAAGCCTGTGGAGAGGTCTAGGTGGATAAGGATTCAAATAAGACTTTTGAATCTCTTATACTCTAATATACACTACAAAGTTAGGAAAAATGGGGGAAATAAAATAACATTTAAGTTAATTAATACTTCTAAAAATATGACTTTTGTTTAAAACAATTTTAAGGTAAATACTTCCTTAAATGAGCAAGAAAATATAATCAGCAAGAAGACAAATCTTTAGTAATTATTTTCAAAATGAGAAATAGAAGGAAAGCAAAAATGTTAAATTATAGTAATTTAATTTAACAGTTTAATTCATTCCCCTAACACAGTCTTACAGGCAAAGATATCCCTTAATAATTCAAGATTAGCTGTAATTTGTGTTTAAAAAATACCAAACTATGACAAAATTTCATATGTCATCTTTCACCTAACCCCCAAATTTTCAACCTTTACTCCCCGCGTCAACTTTTTATATTTATACCTCAATTTTAAGAGCTTTTCCAAACTGGAAAAAAAAGTTCATCATTCAGTGCTCATTGTTTTAATAAGCAAAGATCTAAAATTTATTCATCTCTATAATCATAATATATTCCTGTATAAAACACAGCATTACTTTTCCCAAGGGAAGTTTACTTTTTTAAGTAGACTCCATGCTCAGCGTGGAGCCCAACATGGGGCCCAAACTCACAACCCTGGGATCAAGACCTGAGCTGAGATCAAGAGTCAGACGCTCAACCAACTAAGCCACCCAGGTACCCCTGGAAGTTAAGTTTTTATAGCTTGCAATATTTTTTCTCCATCAGAATTCAAAGTAATGAACGGGGAAGGGTTTACCTTCTTTTGCAGGCTTTTCTAATTTGCACCAGGGTACCAGGTAAGTAATCTCCATCTCTTGTTTATCTGTAAGACCCAGATTTGGAGTGAGAGATTGTTGCCATTCCTTATCCTTGGCCACAGCTTTCCGAACTTCAGTTCGATGGGCAAAATTATCTAGGGGATGAAAAGGAGTAAGAAAAATAAAAACTTAATTAAAATCACCTCTATCTCTTTTGGATTTCATTCAATTCAGCAAATGTTCATACGGGCCACTTAAGGACACCGTTCTATCCCTGGAGCTATCAACATAAATAGATGTGACATCTGTCCTCAAGTTTCTCATGGTCTAAAAAGGGAGTAGAAATTTAAACAACTAATGATAATGTCGTGTAGTGGGGTTTATCGGTTCTACCACTGTAGGTATTTGTGTGACTTAGGTTAAGTTACTGAATCTTTCTGTTCCTGTTTCTTACTCTGTGAAAGGGGGATAATGACATAGTATCTCCCTCCAGGATTGTTATGAAGAATAAATAAATTAGTACATGAGAGGGGCTCTGAGCAGTATTTGGCACCTAGACAGCACTCAACATATATTAATTATTCTTATTATTTGAGGCATTTAAATGATAGTGCCCATTTAGAGAAAGACTATTTTTTCCTTGGTGGTGATGGTGAGTGGTCAGGTCAATGTATACTCTGAATTAAATTTAACACAAATGAAAGGAAGATGTGCTTTTTAAGCCTCCTCTTTGAACAGCTTCCAAAGAAAGAGTGCTGATTCTCTTTCTTATCATCACCATTCTTTTTACCCAGTATTTATTTCTCTTATGTTTGTTATTTACACATTTACTAAACATTTAGGCCTAGTACTGCACTAGGGTCTCATTAAAATTAATGGTAAAGGCGTTTTCTATGGTTTATATTGGGGATCTTAGAGCTTAAGTGAGTTATATCAGGATTTTTCTAATGATTTTTTTTTTAACAGGACCTGAGTTCACCGGTGGCACATTAAAGCATAAATTGTGTTTCAATGGGTTTATTCTATAACAATACGGGAAACCCCTAAACTAGGGCCATGATAACTATGGAATGACACTTTTCATAGTAAAGTATTTAATGACTATTAAGTTTTGGACACTGATGATCAAACACTAAATGAAGGTATTGAAATTCTCTGGATTTCATTAAGTTCTGACGTGGACTTCACAAAAATTAGACACTTGAGTAACAAACATCGTGGGGATTGAGCAACCTGTTCTTCTTTGACTATTAAACCAGGGGTAAATCAACTTCAATATGGGAAGAACTCTGATTGGCTTTACTTCCCTGTAACAGCACAATGACAGAGAATTTCCTGAAACCCTGAAATGCACAAATGACACCGATATGGTTTTCTCAATATAACAACTTATTAAATCTCAGTGGTGGGTGAGGCCTAGAAGTTAATTATCATCCCCATCAACCTCTACTACTCCAAAGCCCCTACATATCTGAATTGTTTCTACCAAAATCCAGATATCCAGCCATAGCTTCAACAATAAGAAAAAATAACTCTATCTTCCTTTATGATCTTAATTTACTTGAGCTCTTACAATCACTGCTTTAATTTTTTTTCATAAATCATCTTTATGACAAACCACTGTATAATTTTTCTGAGAATTAAAGTCTATCTCAGAAATTTATGATTTGAAATATGAGATGCCACACTTTCCCATTTATGGTAACATAAGAATTTGGGCAAAGGATTGTTAAAGGTGTACCACTGGGAGGAGGAGTCAGAATTCATTTTTTGCTGCTGTTCCCCTTTTTAAAAGTTTATTTTAATCTGTGGGCATTTATACTAATTTAGATTCAAGAGCTAAGCGTTAAGTAACATTTAACAGAACGAAAATCGATACTGAACCCCACAGCTGGAAAAAAATCATACCATACTTCCAAATATGAAACACTTTATTCACTTGGCCTCCAAATTCTACACTCCAGAAGCCAACCAATTCAGAGTGAGCTGTCCGAAGATGTATGTTTTTCTTAATATTTTCCAGAAACTCATTCATCTTTGAGGGCTTAAGGCAATAAGTACGAAATTCATAGAATGTTCCATCGTATTGTCTTGGACCCGTAGCAAAAGATGAGCACACCTGAAGACAGATACGGCAAATTTAAATATTTTGGAAAGGTAGAGTTTATAATATTATTACAACCATATCTGAATCTAGAAACAAAGGGCATGCATTAGACTCATAATCCACGTTTGTACTTCTTTTGTGATCTCTCCTTAGACATTTGTTTAGAGAAATGTCAATAAAAATAACTAACCTTAAGTATGCTGAACATACAGTAACTGTTTCTTAGTGGTGATCCACTGTTAGCCACTTTTTCATGAAATTTAATCATGAGAAGGCCCAGAGGTCTTAATAAAAGTCCTTTACTCGAGAACTACAACTAGGATTCTAATAAACTTGCAGATTATTTATTTAGCCAATATTTAGCCAATATTCCATTTTTAGTCAATACTATATGTCACAATTACACATTTAAGTGAACTTTATAAAATATGCAGGTGTTTTGGCAAGTAAAATGGAAATGTGTTTACTAGCAAAAAACTCCCTTTTAGGTTTTTCTTAAAAATAAAAATTGCTATTCAGGTCAAAGTATTTCCCAAATCCAACGAAGCAGATCACTGATAAAAGATAGGAATGGACTGTTACTATCTATTCAACTGCATTTTAACATACTGGTCGACTGTATGAATGCTGTAAAGGAAAAAATCAATGAATTAGAATTGTCTGAATCATTATTAGGTTTAATTACAGATACAATGTGAAGAAGGGCATTTAACCCATCCAATTTTATCAGATTGATGAAAATATCCCTGAAGAACCTTAGTTCTTGTTGTATTAGTTGTAGGCTACCCATAAAAAGTTTTCTTCTAATCTAGGCCTCCAAGTCTGAATAAACTTAACTTTAGATAGGAAATGCCTCACTAGAGGGGCACCTGGGTGGCTCAGTGGGTTAAAACCTCTGCCTTCAGCTCCAGTTGTGATCCCAGGGTCCTGGGATTGAGCCCTGCGCATCAGGAACTCTGCCCAGCAAGGAACCTGCTTCCTCCTCTCTCTGTCTGCCTCTCTGCCTACTTGCGATCTCTGTCTGTCAAATAAATAAATAAAATCTTTAAAAAAAAAAAAAGGAAATGCCTCACTAGAGATTATCTTGTGTATAAATACATGTGCATGTGTATATACCCACACCCACACAGTCCTATGGCATTTTCATTTATAAATTCTTCTTACTGTAGGTTTGGTTATCATGAACCAGTTTCACGAAGTTTTGTTTTGTTTCATGAAGCTTATTAATCAAAAGCTTTGGTACAAAGCTATGGACAAATTTTGGGCTTATGTGACTACTTGGTACATCAAATGAAACCAGTAGGCTTCTTTATCTGACATAATTTAGGTTAAAACACACAGTTGTCTATGTATTTATGAATAATTTTGTAATTATAATTATAAAATTGAGTTCATTCCATTCACGTCTCCTGAGTTAGGTTCCTACTGCCCAAGTGTCTAAGCTTACTTGGAAAGCAAGTATTCCCTCCAAAAACTACTGCAGATACTTCTGTTTTTGCTGGACATGCTTTCTGTGTCATTTTAACCACTTTTTAATATAAGAATGTTATCCAAATAAACAACTGCCTAGTATTATAGTTCAAAAAGTATTACAAATAAAATATAACGGAACAGTGTGGTATTTATAACAAAAGCTTTTAAGTCATTTTGTCAGGGTATTTGTATTTGGAAACAAATATGTGGTCAAAGGCATGTATTTTTATTTTCCAAAGAAGAAACAGTAAGAGGGAAAAGCCCACAGATTGGAAAAACAAGAGTGAGTGAGATAAGTGAGTGTGCTTAAGGGGAGGTGACTTTTGTTAAGGGCAGAAACTACAAGGATTCTGGGGTAGGATTCATTAGTGTTCTAGGCTCCCTTATCTCCAAATAAGGGCTGATTTTCCATAGCACTGACTTCCAATTCATTTATGAGACCCACTGGCTGGCATGTAATAATCAAAGTTCAGAATAAAGTTGTCGGGATAACTCTTGGCCCTGCCCCTGTAGAGTGAGAATCAGGAAACATTAAAGACTGGATTGCTAATCTTGGGTGAACAGGCCATCGTTGGTTCCTCAGTCTTCAGCAGAAAATCTGTCTCTAGAGTAGGTTCATCCCCTTCCGCTTGCCCCCTTCGAGAAAAGTACAGGCCTAAATATCAGAGGGGAAAAAACCTGTAGATGCACAGAATAGGCCAAGCCCGACAGATAAGGCTGAAACACAAAAATCTATTATGTACGTTTTTCATCGGAGGTTAAATGACGTTGTCATCGTCATGTATGCTACTCGGTTCCTGGCTTGGACACCCCCCCCGCCCCGCAAGAGGCAGTGGACAGGACGTTCCACCACCGGCACCTGGCCCATCTCTTCAAGGTTCTCTGCAAAATGCTTGGAAGTTATGCACGTTTCGTTTAAACACAGGGAGGCCGGTTTTTTGTTTGTTTGGTTGGTTTTGTTTTGCCAGGAGCTGGTTGACCTATTTCTCCTCTACTTTAGCTCTAGAGGCGGCGGTGGCTTGTCAAACAACAAAATCAATAGGAAAGGATAGACCAGCAGGCACCGGGCACGGGCCCCAACATGCCAAAAGCTGAGCGGCTGGGAAGCAAATACGGAGCATCCGGAGCTTCAGTAGTGTCCTCAGGGCCGCCTGGCACCTAGGCCACAGACATCCTGTTCACGGTTCCTCGAGAGCTGGCCGGAAGGCGACACTGGCCAGCATACTCTCCCCGACTGGCGACACCCTTCCACCCGCGTATCTTAGAACACCCCAACTCCGGGATAAGGGACCCTCTCTGGAATTAGAACGATCTGCGCACGCGAACAGACTGGACGCATGCGCGGCACTCACACGTCTGGGCGAGCGAACCCAGTAGCGCATGCGCGGCATCACTGGCTCCTGGCAGACAACCCTCCTTCCCCCCCAACCAGGGCACTGTTGGTGCTTTTCTGGGCGGCGGGTACCTGAGGCGCGAGCGTCCGCGCAGCCAGAGCTCTAGTCAGGACGCTTCGGAGGACAAGCATGGTGGGGCTTCGGGCGCTGGGAAGGACAGCCATCTGGTACTCTTTCTTAGATTCCTCCTGTTACGTCTTACCCGCCTGGAAAAGAGCAGCGACTAGACTACTGGCGGACGCAGGCTGGGGCGGGACTCGGCGGCCTCAGCTCCGCCTCTGGTGCCGGAGGCGCGCGCACCGCCCCGCAGGCTGGCTTGCTGGGTGGCCCAGTGCCCGGCGCGTTCGGGCGGCCAGTATCGTGGTCCTGGGCTTGTTCCTTCTGACACTCTTACCCCAACGTCAGAGGGGACATTTCTGAGCCATCACCTCATCTCCACGCGCAGCTGAGCAACAGTTCTTAAGAGTTCGTGTGCAGACTGCGAGTGCTTGCCGTTTGAGGAGGGCGTCTGATGCGTGCGCGCATAATGCTGTGCATTTAAAATCATGGAGGTCTTTGCCGTGCTTCATCTTTAGTCGGGGTGATTTACGTAAAGACCAGGGAGCCTTATTTTTCCCTCATGAGGTGCATTCTCTTTCCCCGATCGCCACCCAGCATGACCTCATAAGGCTTCTAATGTATCTCCCAGGAGCTCACTGCAGTGGATGCATCAAACTTAGTATTAAAAGTCAAATAGTTTTGTAAGCCTTGAAACATACCAGCAGACCTCTGATCTTGTTCTCCTTATCCCTGATTATTGGTCCCCAGAATAACTATTTTCAGCATTTAACACTTGTTTCTTTTGATGCTTTCTTCTCGTTCTTTAAATTACAGGCTTTTTCTGGTGTGTCCTGGTATTTTCAATTTTAGATAGTGTCTGTTGCTTGGAAAATGAGGATTTCGGTTTCTTACATACCACTCCCTCAAAATAACCTCCTCTTCCTCATCTGATAATGGGTACATTACAGATTAATTGTCACATTAATTTATAGTATTTAATGTTTACATATTTATTACTAATTACATATAATTACACAGTGCATAATCACACTCACACAATAGTTACATTATTGTATACATTGGAATAATACAGCTTATACTATCAAGAATAGGGAATTATTACAGTGATATCACTCGTGGTTGTATTGGTTGTGCCTTCTTCAAAGACTTGAATTATCTGTTCAGAGGGATGCTTTTTAAAATTATAATTCCAGAGTGAGTGAGTAAGTTTTTCTGGGTGATAGTCATCGTTTTTAACCAAGTGAGACAAAACAAAGCATAATCTGTGCCTGGGCTGGATCTTACTTTATGTTTAAATTTGTTTTCTTGGACTTTGCCCCCTCCCTTTAATTAACAATTTATTCACTCATTTGGCCCCTAATTATTAAATTTCCTCCTATGCCTCAGGTACTTTTCCAGAAGCTGGGGTACGGAAGTGAGCAAAAGGCATAATCCTTGTTCTTGGAATTTATAGGTTGAGGGAAATATTAACAGTAAAAAGAAAAATAAATAATGGATTAATAAATACTCTGAGAGAAAACAATGTAGGATATGAACAGTGGAAAGTTCCACTGGAGGGGGATAGCAGAGACTATTAGCTATTTCCCATTATCCATTCTCCCTGCTGCCCTCTTTTTTAAAAAATTAGTAATAGAATGCTTGTAGCTAGATGCAGCTGTGTGACTAAGCTCTGGCCAGTGTAATGTGTTGGTGCATTTATAATGTACTCTAAGTGATCTTAAAGCAGTGTAGGAGGGGCAGTTCTCTTTTTCGTTTCTTCCTTATTTCTGCATGCTGGAATATGGGTGTAAAGGCTTGAATTCTTGGGTTATGAGGTAGAGGCCACATGCTGGAGATTGGACAACAGGAGAGAAGCAGCCTAGGTTCTGACATCATGGAATACCGTGCTGAGAGTCTTGGACTGCCCATCTCTGGAGTTCTTTTACATGAGAAATCCTCTTCTAGTTTAAGCTACTGTTAAATGGGTTGCACGTGTAATTTTTTAAAATTAACATATATTATTTATTTCAGGGGTACAGGTCTGTGATTCATCAGTCTTACACAATTCACAGTGCTCACCATAGCACATACTGCCTCCCCAATGTCCATTACCCAGCCACCCCATCCTTCCTACCCCGCTCCCCTCCAGCAACCCTCAGTTTGTTTCCTAAAAGTCTCTTACAGTTTGTCTCCCTCTCTGGTTTCATCTTGTTTCATTTTTCCCTCCCTTCCCTATGATCCTCTGTCTTGTTTCTCAAATTCCTCATATCAGTGAGATAATATAACCTGTGATTTTTTTTTAAAGATTTTATTTAAATAATTTGACAGACAGAGATCACAAGTAGGCAGAGAGGCAGGCAGAGAGGAAGGGAAGCAGGCTCCCCACTGAGCCAAGAGCCCGATGTGGGGCTCGATCCCAGAACCCTGAGATCATGACCTGAGCAGAAGGCAGAGGCTTTAACTCACTGAGCCACCCAGGCGCCCCGATAACCTGTAATCTTAATAGGACTGCGACTCCTTTTTTTCCTCCATCTTTGCTTTCTATTGTTTTCCTTGTATCTGTCATTTATTAATCACCAAACCCTTTGTCAAAATATACCTCTCAATGTGTTACGGAGCCCTCTTCCTCAACTGTAGACCCCAGCATTTAAAACCAGAAGTAGACAGGACTGCCTATCTCATACTGTTAACTAAAACCCACTGTGCTTATTTCTTACCACACTTTCTTGAAGCGTGATGAAGTTCTTTTGCAAGGACTGGGAGCATCCCAAATGCCACACCAGTAAAGCTCTGATAGCAATGTAATGCCTAGAAGACCACACCCACAGATCCTCTTTCTGCCCCTTATCAGGGGCTGAACACATACCAACCCTCCCCCATGATCACAAGCTGTCTGCCTGCTCTTTTGCATGTACCCCGCCACCGTCCTCTCCTTATGAAATTGTTAAGTGTCCATCTTGGAGGCAGAGAGGTTGGTTGTTAAGTCTTGAGCTTGCCACCTCCCCTGGCTGTCCGTATCCAAAATAACTTTCTCCCTTCTCTTTCCCAAACCCTTATCTCTTGAGTTATTCTCTTCTCAGATAAACTCAAAAGTTGAGTTTATCTGACTGTTCTGCCACAGTGTTGGCAAACCCCGCAGCGTTGGAAAACCCAGCCAGTTCAATTTGTCCGGTCCCCTCCACAATCGCTGGGATGGAATTGTTGTACCCGAGTTTTTGTGTCTGAGACCACCAAGGAGCCAACACCGATGCAATCACACGAGGGTTTATTTAACAAGCTTAAGCTTGGGCCCAAGTATACCCGACACAGCAAAGTAGTGACTTGGACCCCGAGCTTAGTTTAAGGCAGGGGTATTTATGGGTTCCCGTTACTAAAGCAGGGTGGGGGTTTCTGAAACCAAAGCAGGGTGGGCTTCCTGTTACTAAAGCAGGGTGGGGGTCTCTGGAACTAAAGCAGGGTGGGGGTCTCTGGAACCAAAGCAGGGTAGGGGTTCTTGTTACTAAAGCAGGGTGGGGGTCCTTAGAACTAAAGTAAAGTAGGGGAAAGTTCAGCCCTTGGGCACAGGGGTCTGAGATGGCTGTACTTATGCTAAGGCTAAATCTGAGGTGGGATGTCCTTAAGTTTTCTCGGCCTCCACAGAATAATGGCCATAGCAGTGCACCGGGGCTTACCCATTTGCTTACTGAGTTAGCAGCTTTGATGGATCTTTCGGTAACAAATGTGATTAAACCTGTTAATCAGCTTTTTAGTTTCATCTTTTAGAGTTATCTTTGGAGAGTTCTTTGTTCTTTTATGAGGACTAGTTCTTTAAGATGGCGTGGTAGTAATTCCAGGACCCCCTTTGCTTTGTGTTGGACTTCCTGTTGTCTGGATTTTGTTTCTTTTTCTTTTAGCTTATAATTTTAGGGCAGGGTACTTGGAAATTAAACTTTTGGGATTTGTATCTATAAAACATGTTTTATTCTACCAGCCCTCTTGATTTATATTTTGGGTGGGTACAAAATTCTGCATTGGAAATAACTTTTCCTCATATTTTAAAGGCAGTGCTCCATTGTATTATACCTTCTAGTAAGAAATTCATGCCATTTTGATTCCTAATTCTTTGTAGTGACTTGGCTTGTTTCTGTCAGTCTCTTTGGAACCTTTTATGTTTTTCTCTATGTTCCTAGTGTTCTGAAATTTCACAGTAATGTGCCATGGAGTAGATGTTTTTTGCATACGGTGTTCCTGACTCAGTGTAGCCTCATAATGGGGATACTCTTCAAACCTGAAAATTTTTTGTTTCTTGGATTTTTACATTCTTCATCTTTGGAACTTTTGTTATCCAGACATTGTACTTCCACTTGATCTTCTAATTTTATTCTTTCTACTACTTTACATCTCTACTTTTTTGGTTTATGGTTTTGGGGATAAAGTACCACAATTTTATCTTCTCACTTATTTTAAACTTATACTTTTACAGTATATTTATTTCCAAAAAGCTCTTCTTTTTAATGCCTTCCCCAGATTATTTATTTCTCTCTCTCCCTTTTTTTTTTTTTAAGATTTTATTTATTTATTTGACAGGCAGAGATCACACGTAGGCAGAGAGGCAGGCAGAGAGAGGAAGGGAAGCAGGTTCCCCGCTGTGCAGAGAGCCCGATGCGGGGCTCGATCCCAGGACCCTGGGATCATGACCTGAGCCAAAGGCAGCGGCTTAACCCACTGAGCCACCCAGGCGCCCCACTTTCTCTCCCTTTTTAATCAGAACTAATATCCTTTTTTTGTTTCATGGGTTCATAATTTGTCTCAGAGGACATTAATTACAGATGTTTATTTTTTAGTTATTGTTGTGGGTCTTCTTCCTGAGTTCAAGTTTTATTATTATTCTTTTTTATCATTTGATTTGTTTTCAGCCATGATACTAGTATGCTAGTGTTTTTCCTAAAATAGTTTTGTATCTGTAATCCTTGGTAATAAACTCATATTTTGCAGTGAGACAAAAATTTTTTGAAAGCTTTTTGAGTATGGGTGTGGCCTGTCAAATGGTGGGCTTCACTGTAGGGTTTTTGTAGGTTATCTGTTTATTTCATTGAGGAGAAAAACTCCCATTTGTTTTCACCCATAAGTAATTTTTTAAAAAATACTTTATTTATTTATTTGACAGACAGTGAGAGAGGGAACACAAGCAAGGGGAGTGGAGA